TTGCTTCCACATGCAAATGAGCCATAATCACTTACATGTTACAAACAAAACCCTTCTGCCCCCAATTCCCCTCCAAGTACCACCCTACTTCTCTATGCCACTTGGTAGCATAGTTTTTGACAAAGTCGTTTACAGTCACTGATTTCACTTCCTCTTTTCCTGTGGTCTGATCCACCTCCAGGAGACCCAGACCTCCTGCAGACCACTGAATTGGTCCTCCACCAGGTGTGTTCTAACTGCTAGTAGCCTGGTCCATCCTTCATCCTCATCTTAGTGAAACCACCAATATTTGTTCTGTCTCTAAAGGTGCTTTCCATACTGGAATGCTGGTTTCTTTGTATCTTCCTGGTATTGAAACATGAGCTCACTGAAGGACTCAGCCTGTGATCCTTTTTCCTGTCCAGTACTTTCTTATGACCTTTAACTCTTTCTCTTGATGATGCCCAAGTTTCCATTTTGGGCTGCACCATAGTTGATGCAGCCCTTCTATCAGTAGACCTTTGAGTTCTTTTTGTTTTTAAAGTTATATTACACAGATATTCTCTCACACATAGTCTCTTAGTGTACTTGTGGGAGCATTTCTGTAAGTAAAGATCCTAGAAGACAGATCTAAAGAAATGGACCATTTAAGCAGGGCATAGTGATACATACCTTTAAGTATTTGGGAGGCTGAGGCAGGGGGTTCGCCACAAATTAGAGGCTAGCCTGAGTTATATAGTGAATTCATGGCCAACCTGAGCTACATCGCAAGACCCTGACTCAAAAAACAACAAAAAAAATGTTTAAAGATATACACCTTTTAAATTCTAAGAAATATTACTAAATGCCCTCTGAGTGGTTGTACTAACTTACACGCCTACTAGCAGTATGCAAATGCACATTTACCCATACCCCAGACAACACTATTTTCAAGTGTTTTTATTGTTTTTTACTTTTTCTAGCTTTCTTGAATAATTTTAATTCACTTTGCAAGAGCAGATTTCTACTACTTTAAATATAAAGCAGTCTGTTCATTGTTATAGTAAGTTTTCACATACCATAAAGTCTCCAAAGGTTTCATATGTAAATAGATTGTGACACCATGTCATTGTCATAGAAACAAAATGTGATTCCTTATCTAGAAAATGTGAAGTTTTACATGAAGCTGCACAAGTGACTTAATGACATATTTTCCCCATTCATTTTAAGCCCTATATTTGATTACTGGCTATCATGAATTGTTTTTTGGTTTTTTGGAGTTTTTTTGGTACCAGGGATCAAACTCAGGACCTTGCACTTGTGAAGCAGGCAGAGGAACCACTGAGCTAAATCCCCAGCCCAGACTATCATTAATTGAAGTTTCATGGCCAGTCGGCTTTGTTACACCAAAAGAGAAATTGCCTTGTTTTTAAACTGAGTATTAATTCTTATAAAGGATTTAAAAGGGATAATTTTGATTGTTGCAGAACTTTTCCATGGAAAGAAAACTAACAATGAAATTAATACAATTTTAAGGAATTTCTACTTCAGATAAATTATTTGAAGCTAGGAAGTCCCAGTCAATAACTTTTAAAATATTTTAGGGCTGGGGATTTAGCTCAGTGGTGCTGCCACCTGCCTCGCAAGCACAAGGTCCTGAGTTCAATCCCCGGTACAAAAAAAAAAAATATATATATATATATATATATATAGTTTAAAAACAAGTTTAAAATATAATAACAATTTCCATATTGTAATTTTACTTGGAGAAGGTGGTTGAGAGATACAAAACTTCCTAATAACTCACTAATAAACACATTATTTTGACAGATTAAGGTTTTGACTGAATTGATGTAGCAGGTACATCCCAGGATTCTTCTTGCTTAAGTTGGTACTGAATCTGCAGGAGGTTAAAACCTTTTGGTGCCAAAATCCTTTTGGTTCTCTCCAGGTTCTTTTCTACTATGTGATTCCATCACATGACAAAATAATTATTTTGTATTAAAGTATACTTTTGATAAGCTAGAATTTCAATGATAAGCTACTTGCTTTTAAGACAAAGATTTTTTTTTAATGTTTTATTTTATCCTATTCCCCCTTCAAGCCCCCTCCCCTTCCTATGTACAAAAGCTTTGTTTCCATTTTTTCCTTCTATTTTGCCTTTTTTTGTGTCCCTTCCTTCCTTTCCCCTCTCTCCTCCCTTGTTCCCCTTCCCTTTTGAACACTTTCTTCCCATTTCCCAGCATCCATTATACATCTCAGTCCTTATTTCCACATTCAGTTTCTCACACCAGAGAAACAATGTGGTATTTAAACATGTGTGTTGGATTTATTTCACTTAAGAGTGTGGTCTCAAGGTCCATCCATTTAGCTATAAACGTCTGAAGCCCATCCTTCTTTATGGCAGAGTAGTAGTCCATTGTATAAAAAAAGTGCATCTTCTTTATTCACTCATCAGTTGATGAGTATTTGGACTGTTTCCAATATTTAACTATTACAAACTACTGCTATAAACATTGGTGTGCATCTATCGCTGTAGTATGATGCTTCTAATTCTTTTGAGAAGATACCAAGAAGAGGTATTGCTGGGTCAAATGGAACCTCTACTTTTAGTTTTTTGAGAAATCTCCGCTTTGATTTCCACAGTGGTTGCACCAGTCTACACTCCTACCAGCAGTGGAGCAGGGTTCCTCTTTCCCCACAGCCCCACCAGCATTTGCCATTGGTTGATTTCTTGATAGCAGTCATTCTTTCTGGAGTGAGATGGAATCTCAGCATTGTTTTAACGTGCATCTCTAGAATGACCAGTGATATTGAACATTTTTTCATATATTTATTTGTTGTTTCTAATTGTTTTTTGGGGTTTTTTTGGTACCAGGGATCAAACTCAGGACCTTGCGCTTGCAAGGCAGGGAGCAGAGCCACTGAGCTAAATCTCTGGCCCTGTTTCTAATTCTTTATCTGAGAAGTGTCTATTCATTTCAGATGCCCATTTTTGCATTGGGTCTTTAAGTTTGAGGGTCTGATTTTTTTGAGTTCTTTATATAGTCTAGATAATAGTCCTTTATCTGAATAGCTGGTAAAAAAATTTTTCCTAATCTGTGGGTTGTCTCTTCACTCTGTTGGTGGTTTCTCTTGCTGTGAAAAAGCTTTTTAATAAGATGAGGTCCCAGTTGTTGATTCTTTGTTATATTTCCCATGCAGTCTGGGTTTTGTTTGTGAAGACTTTGCCTACTCCTGTGTCCCCAAGCATTCTACCTATTGTGTCTTCCACCAGATTTAATGTTTTTGTTTTAATATTTAGATCTTTGATCCATTTTGATTTTAGGTTAGTGTGTGGAGAAAGATACGGCTCTAGTTTCAATCTTCAGCATGTGGAAAGCCAGTGTTTCCGGCACCGTGTATTAAAGAGGCTATCTTTCTTCCAGTGAAGGTGTTTGGCTCCTTTGTCAAAGATAAGGCGGTTGAATATGTCTGGAGTTGTTTCTGCATCCTCTAGTCTGTTCCATTGATCCTCAGGTCTTTTCTTTTGCCAGTACCATACTGTTTTTATCACCATAGCTTTGTAGTATAATTTAAAGTCAGGGATTGTGATACCCCCTGCTTTGCCTTTGTTACCCAGAATTGCCTTTGCTATTCTAGGTCTCTTCTGGTTCCAAATGAATTTTAGGATTTTTTTTTCTAATTCTGTGAGATATTCTATTGGGATTTTGATTGGGATTGCATTGAATCTGCATAACAATTTTGCAAGTATGGTCCTTTTCACTATATTGGTTCTTCCTATGCAAGAACAAAGGATATCTTTCCATTTTCTGATATTCTCTTCAATCTCCTTTTTCTGAGTGCTGTAGTTTTCTTTTTTCTTTTTGGTACCGGGGATCAAACTCGGGTCCTTGCACTTGCACAGCAAGCGGTGAAACCACTGAGCTAAATCCCTGACCAGTACTGTAGTTTTCAGTGTAGAGGTCTTTTACTTCTTTTGTTAGATTGATTCCTAGGTATATCATTTTTTTGGATGCTATTGAAAAAGGGATTGTTTCTCTGATTTCCAAAGATTTCTTTTATCATTGAAAAATTTAGTATTCTTTTAAAATATCACAGGCTACTTGATGTGAAATTCAGGTTTAAGTGTGAAATTCTACACTTTCCAAAACTGATTTGGATGTAACAGCAATGCTTAGGGATGCCCTTTTCAAAATCTGTGGTACTCTTCAGAGGTTACTGCTAATAGATACTTTGTCTATTCATTTCATGAAAGATAATTTCTTTAAAACATGGGTATATTAAAGGGTAAGAAGTAATTTACCTCTGTTCAGTGATTACCAGGGTGATAAATGACATCTACCTGGTGGTAAGCCATTTGAAATTCATTTTGTCTTTCATAATTTACTGAAAACCTTCTCTTTCAACACTAGAAAAAAAGAAGAGATACTTTGTACCCTTTCAGATAGGTGTGCCATTAATAATACCCACTGTTATCTTTTGAACCTTTATTACCTGACAGGCACCATGTGAAAAAGTCTTTTGGGAGCTAGAGTATGGTAAAAAAAACAACAACAAAAAAAATCACTTTAGTACTTGTATGATAAGTACTCTAATAAAATGCTGTGGGGTCACAGAGGACTTTGTGAGACCTTAGCTCTGCCTAGGGGAACATTTTGCCTGAATAACTTTGTCTTATTGAAGAAATTGCTTTACTACATTCAGGGGGGAAAAAAAGAGGGAGTTATGTTGAGCAGTAAAATTGATTCAGATGCATTTTGCCTTATTGCTCATTGGTTAGGCAGGAGTTTTAACATTCTAAGGTTATGTCTCAACACCTTCAAAAAGTCTAAGCCAGATAATAGATCTGAGTAGGCAGCTAATCATACTAAGTTAACTTAACCTTAAGTCCTCTCTAATAAAAATGAGAACTGGCCCATTACAAAGCATTACATCATGTATTTTTGCCTGTGGATTCTAACAGCTGAAATTGATTGCAGTGAATCCCTGGATCCCAGAAGTGTTGTTGATGTTTAGATTTTTATTTCTTGTCTTTCCAGCCTTGACTGCCATTGAAGGCACAGCACACGGGGAACCCTGCCACTTCCCTTTTCTTTTCCTGGATATGGAATATGTTGCGTGTACATCCGATGGGCGGGAAGATGGCAGACTGTGGTGTGCTACAACCTATGACTACGGAACTGATGAGAAGTGGGGCTTCTGTGAAAGTAAGCATTGTTCAGGAGAAGCCTGTCCACGTAGCTGATGTCCAAGACATCCTTTTGAAGGCCTCTCTCTAGCCATCCTTCCCATGTGGTCAGACATGGCCCAGCTGATGATGCGTTTATAGCCGTATAGAATAGACTTGAGAGCTGGAAGAATGTACATTTATTTCAGGCTGCCAGACAGCTTATCACACTCATGTCTTACTTAAAAAGGTTTTGCACAGGTGACTCATAAACCCTTTAGGCAAGCTGCTAGATTAATTAACATACAACAGTTTTTAGCAATAAAGGAAACAGACTCTTATGGTGAAGGGTAATGAAAATTAAAAGAAAACTGCCTCTCTAAAATACTTTGAGTGAGGTGTGCTGTTCTAATGTAACATTTGACAAATGTAATATATTTAACTATGCTAAGTATAAATGTTGGTATGAAGAGGCTGAATTCTACCGGCAAACTATGTTTCCAGGGAAACTTTGGATGTAAGTAGACTGGTGTGACAGAGAATTACAGATTTTTCTATACTACAAGAATTTGCTTCTATTTCTGCAAATACTGGTCTTAATGAAATACATGAATTTTGATGAGGTCTATATTTCTATTTAAAATACCTTATTATGGTAGCAAAATGATTTTGTAAAACCCGTAACAAGTCTTAGGATTTTCAAGGTTGTATTAGTGAGTATGAAAAATTAATATGAGAAAATTAATGGACTTGAATGCTAAGTCTGGATCTATAGTTAGTAAAAATCAATTTTTTTGTTTTCCTGAGACAGGGTCTCACTATGTAGTTCAGGGTGGCCTTGAACTCACTGTGTAGCCCAGGCTGGCCTTGAACTTCCAGTGATCTTATTGCCTCAGCCTCCCAAGTCCTGGGATGACAGGCATGTACCACCACGCCCAGTTTTATTTTTTATTATATAATTGCTTTCTCCTTGTAAAATGCACATTTCAAATAGAGCTAAAGTATTCTTTGATTACAACAGTGCTTTTCTGATCACTGTTTTCTAATATCTTTCTTATTTTAACTAACCTTGATGTATAATCTCAAATTTTAGTTGAATTATATAAAAATGTAAGCAGAAAAAGTACCCTTCAAAATCAGTTGATAGTGTTTCCTCTAAAAGAAAGTAGCTTCAGTAGATTTTATGTTTTGAAAGTCTTACCTTGTGTCAGTGAAGGCCACACTTAAACCATTCTTAGTCATATTTGGAAATAATGATAGATCATTCATTGTGTTTGTTTGACTGCCTAAAAGAATCCATTGTGGCGTTTGATAAATAATTGGTGTAGAATTGCAATCCATGCCAATGCGTGTGATGTTATATTTTCAGCTGAGGAAGAGGCTGCTAGGAGACGGCAAATGGAGGAAGCAGAAATGCTGTATCAGACTGGGATGAAAATCCTCAATGGAAGCAACAAAAAAAGCCAAAAAAGAGAGTAGGTACCAATGTCAGCTCCACTCTTGCCCCCAGACAGGCCTTCCCTGAGATAAATAGCCAAATACTTACTTTTTTAAAAAACTGCTGCCAGAAACACAGATTTCTTAAGTCCATTGCAACAAAACTTAATATCATTTGTGTACATTAGTGGTATTACTCTTAACAGGTTTTAACTTCTTAGGATAAAAAGATTATAAATATTGTTCAAAATGATGAACAATGAGAAAAATGACTGAAATTGTCAGTTTTTAAGAACTAAGAATGGATATACTATTCAGGATTTAACAAAAGGAATTATCATTAAATGTGTGTTTTTTGGTGTTGCTTTTAAACTGTCAACTGAAATTTAAGAATTTTCACATAGACTGTAAACCAAGTGATTATATTCTCAATTTTCAAGTCTGCTTAATTTCAGCTAACTTTTGTTACATTCTGTGCAAAGAATTAAAAAGAAATTAGAATAGTTAGGGGATTATTTATTGGACTTCATCATATTACAGGTCTCTTATTGCAAAGCTTGTTAAAGGTTTTTAGGATTATTGATAGTGTAATTAGATTATTCCAAGATGCTAGAATAACAGGGAGAACTGGCACCTTAGATTTCTACATATGTAAGTAAAATGAATTATTCAGAAAAAATAATATCGGAAAATTTTTTTTTAAATAAGGAAATTATTTATACAATGTTTTGGTAGATCTTGAAAAAAACTTCTAATGGCAGTTCCAAAATGCTGCTAATTTGTTTTTTAATTGCTTGCATTTAAAGAGCATATCGGTATCTTCAAAAGGCAGCAAGCATGAACCATACCAAGGCTCTGGAGAGAGTGTCCTATGCCCTTTTGTTTGGGGATTACATGACACAGAATATCCAGGCAGCTAAAGAGATGTTTGAGAAGCTGACTGAGGACGGCTCCCCCAAAGGGCAGACTGTAAGTGCACCTTCAATGGAGAACATGTCGTGTACCCCACTTGTTGATTCCAATGGCAGTTTCTTCTCTGTGCCCTGATGTCTTTTAAGAAGTAAGACTGGAGGGGCTGGGGATTTAGCTCAGTGGTTCCACCTCCTGCCTTGCAAGCGCAAGGACCTGAGTTCAATCTCCAGTACCCAAAAAACAAAAAGAAGTAAGACTGGGCAGTAACATATCTTTAAATATTATTTTGGCAGACCATTTTATCTTTCTCCTCCTGATACTCTTTTTCTTCAGTCTGAATAGTTAATGAAGGCATTTTTTTCAATTGCATCTTGCCACAGTTACATTTGTTTTTCCAAATTACATCTATAAAGAATGAAATATGCAAGAAATACTCTTTTACCTGAAATTACTCACCATTGCATTTTTTTCAAAGTTCATATTCTGTAGCTATTGTTAATACTAACTTCTTTTAAATTTTTTTATTATGGAAGCAATACATGTCCATGACAGAACACTAGAAATACAAACTAGCAAAACTAGAAAGCAAACATCACCTCTGCACCATCCATTTCTGAGCAGTGATACTGTAGTGCATGCATACCCTTAGACCTTTCTCTTTGTGCATATTTATATATGAATTTTTATTGAGATGCCACTGTCTACTGTTCCATAATTTGCTTTTTTCAATCAACAGCCTTAACCTGTCAATTCCAGCATGTTTTTACGTCACATTACACCCATACTGTATTCATGTCCTGTTGAGCCAAATTTTTTTTTACTTTGTCCAAATGAATACCTCGTCCTGCACTACACTATATCTTTAGTTGTAATTTCTAACATAGTCCCGTGCCTTTTTTTTTCTCCTGTGTTAAAGATAGGGCCAGGTTTTCTGCAGAATGTCCTACCTCTATTTATTTGCATCTTCATGCTGTTATTGATTTATTTCTCTATCACATATATTTCCTATAAATAAATGTCACAGCTAAAGCTTGATGAACTCAATTAAAATAGTTTTGGCTAGACTACCTTATAGGAGACGTTCTGTATTCACATTGCATTGTATGTTTGCTCATTTTTTTGTAGCACTTGGGATTGAACCAGTCTTTGCACTGAGCTGTATCCCCTGCCCTTCTTTTACTTTTATTTGGAGACAGGGTCTCACTGATACATAGGCTGAGCTCAAACTTGCAATCCTCCTTTCTAGTTCATGCTACATTTGATACTGCTTTCCTGCTTGCATCACTCATTTTGAAATGACAACTCCTGATCATGGGCCACTTCCAACATGTAGCTTCACATTCTGGAACACAGGTGTCCAAGCCATCATGAAGGGAAAAGAGGGAGCTAGAGGAATTTCTGGGCTGTTTATAAAGTCCAGGCCTGAAAGTGGCTCACATCAGTTCCATGCACATCAAAGGCACATGGTCCTCTTACCTAACTACAGAGGCTGGGAAATTTCAGGGAGCTCATGGGTTCTGATAAGCACAAGCATTCCCTGCTTCACTTGCCTTTGCAGCCTTCATCGAGAACCTTACCATTGCATTGTTTGTTCACTGTTATGTTTTAGAAAATAGTATGTGCTCTAACCTTGCAAAGTAGCATTTCATCCTTGACTGCTTGCTGCCTCTTTTTATTCCTAAAACAGTTTGTCCTAATAATCTCTTGTTTTTCAGAATGTATTCCACTCTACATAGGTAGAGAAGTATGTCAGTGTAACAACACGAGAGTTGTTGTCTTTATAATGATTATTCATAAGATGAAATAGAAGTCACATTTAAGTATGTTTAGCTCTGTTTTTCTAGTTAATAGAAAAACTTTTACTAGATTTTTAATCGTTAAGGTAAACTTTATAACTTGTTTAAGGTTATATGTAGTTGTGTAATTTGTAAAATGCAGAATGCATTTCTGAGGCTTTTTAATTCCCAGTTGTACATATGTGTGTTCAAACCTTTTAGCATTTAAAGGATTTTACATCTTTTCATAGTGCATAAAACTGTGTCTGTCTTGGATAAATTTTTACCAGAGGAAGAATTCTTTGTTTGGTTTTTTGTTTGCTTTTGGTACCTGGGATCAAACTTAGGACCTTGTGCTTATGAGACAGGCACCAGAACCACTGAGCTAAATCCCCAGCCCCAGAGGAAGAATTCTTACTTTTACCATTTTATTTCAGGGTCTTGGCTTTCTGTATGCCTCTGGACTTGGTGTTAATTCGAGTCAGGCAAAGGTAAGACAATTAAAACTTTATTGTATGTTATAATTTGAATTGAATAAGTAGGTCCCTATGTTCAGTTAAACATCTTTTGTTCTTTTACAGGCTCTTGTGTATTATACTTTTGGAGCTCTTGGAGGTAACCTAATAGCCCACATGGTTTTGGTAAGTATGACCTCAGTAGAAGACCAATGATTTTAAATAGCAGAAAAATTTGTGAATGACTCTAGCTACAACTTTTCCAGTGTTCTTAATTGAGATCAGCTTAAGATCGAGGTTTGTTTTTTTTTTTTGGTTCCAGGGATCGAACTTCGGTCCTTGCGCTTGTGCAACAGGCGGCGAAACCACCGAGCTAAATCCCCGGCAGGATCAAGTATTTTTTAGATTAGAGTGTCATAGATGTTACATTTAAATTGATGGAGGACTTAACTGTACAAAAACTGCCCTATAAAGGACATTTAAGAGTATCTGTATGTGTTACCTGATAGGGTTGGTCACCTAAATAGTTTGGTGATAAATATAGAATCTTTCCACCAAATTGTTTTTCTACAAAAGCAGTTAACCTGCCTTCTGCTTTATAAACTGAATTTGGATTGGTCACATGACTTCTGATGCATATTACTGTGTTTCAAGTGAATGTAAGTCCACTAGTAATGTGAATCATAGGCTGGGTAGAAATGTGACTGAAAGCAGAGAAATGATTTACAGGTTTCGTCATTGATAGGATATGAGACTTTAAAAAAAGGAAAATGTAGTTTTCTGGCTAACTGAATAGATCCTAGCTCTCTTTACCTATATTATGTTCAAAATATTTAAGGGTTTATCATCAGGATTCCAAAGATGAATAATGTGTAGTACCCGCCCTCAACAAGAAAGGGAAACATAAGGAGACCATTACAGCACTGTACAGAATGTCACAGAATTTGTGAGAATGTTATGGAGCACTAGGATTGACAAAGAATGGATTTAAGGATATATTACTGGGGAAAGAAATAGCAGAGGGGTGGGCTGGGGATTTAGCTCAGTGGTTCCGCCACCTGTCTTGCAAGCACAAGGTCCTGAGTTCGATCTCCGGTACCCAAAAAAAATAGCAGAGGGGTTTTTGAGGAATAAATAGTAGTAAATGGAAGAAGCGGAAAGGTGCTCAGGCTGCAGAAGCAGTAACTGCAGAGGGACAGCAGCAAGGTGTTTGCAAGAAAATACAAGCAGTTCACTGTAGCTGAAGAGTAGAACTCCCAGCATTTCATGAGCAGCCTGGGAGAGGAGACTCACGTGAAAAGGCTGCAAGTCATGCTGAGGAGCTTCAAACTGGTCCTACACCACTGAAGAAGTTGAAGCACATGGAAAACCAAAGTGTTGCTCTAACTTTCTGAAACATCTGTCAATAATTTTGATGTTGTTTCCACTTATTTGTTTAATCTATAATAACATTTATTCCTCAAACAGGAATTGAAAATTTCAGATGAATTTTCAAGAAATACAAAACTTTTACCTTTATATGGCAAATGTGTATTAAATATTTTTGTACAACTCCCTTTCAAATTATATTTACTAACCTTCTAAAGTGATGACTCCAGATTTGGAACATTTAATACTGTGAATGGTATCACACAGTAATGCCCTAAAGATTATTAGTCTCCAAAATCATTTGTGCAGAGTGATTCCAGAGAGTTCTACTTTCTGTTTTCTGTACTTTGAATTAATAATCTTCACACTTATTCTTTTTTATTTTTATGAGTATATGTTTGCAATAAATAGTGATTACATTCATCTCAGGAAATTGGTACACACCCATATCACAGCTTGATCATTTTTCCTCCCTTCTCCCACCCTCTCTTTCCACTTAATTCTGAAGTCATTTATTGCTAGTGTTACTGTGCCTGCTTCTAATAGTCTCACTTTTCTTATTTTGTTAATTTGTTATTTGCTAGTTTGAAAGATTAATGCATTTGCATTAAGATTGTGCCTAAAGTAAGATTAAAATCAGCTCTAAACACAACTCTCAGTAATTTTCTCGAGTAAAATGCACACACTTAATACATAAAGTTCATGGCATTTATTTTGACTGCTGTAGAAACTTTATTTATTTTCTAGTTCTTAGCTATAGTCTGTTGTCGATGCTAAATAAAATTACCTCAGAACTTAACACTCAGGGTACATGAGGTGTTACATTGGATCATAGGACAGCAAAATGACACCCTAAGTATGGCGAGCTTGGTTTGTTCCAAGAGTAATGGCTCTGGCCTGTGAAACTGCATTCTTCTCACCTGAAGGTGTCTTTCAGGGCTACCGGTACTGGGCTGGCATTGGAGTCCTCCAGAGCTGTGAATCTGCACTGACCCATTATCGTCTTGTTGCCAATCATGGTAGCTACTTTTTCCCTTTCACCTTTCTGGAAAAAAGAAATAGAATTAATTTTAAATGCATCTGTTTTTATTGTAATATTTGAAATATGACTGGCTTAAATAGATTCATCTTAATTAAGTCTATTTGTTAAAAAATTTTTCTTTGCATTCTACTTCTTAAATATTTTGTGGGAAAGGTCTAATTTTCTAATGGTTTAGTATTTTATAATCTGTAGACTACTGTAGAAACCATTTCCTCTAACATCATGTCTGCACATTTGGCAGCTGAAGTTATACTTTCTGGTGAGACACTCTTCTGACTTCCCTTTGCATCCCTGCTTTGTCTCCTGTTCCAGTTGCTAGTGATATCTCGCTAACAGGTGGCTCAGTGGTGCAGAGAATACGACTGCCTGATGAAGTAGAAAACCCGGGAATGAACAGCGGGATGCTAGAAGAAGATCTGATTCAGTATTACCAGTTCCTAGCTGAAAAGGGCGATGTACAAGCGCAAGTATGTGTTCAAATATCTCAGGGAATTTCTTACTGTGTTATATACTTTAACACAGGGGAGGGGAAGCATTCACTTCTGTAAGTAACATTTTCATGGCTCTGTGCAATTATTAGCTACGTAGTAGGGTCACCTGAGGAGTACTAAAAGAAATACTAAGAGTTCTACATGCTCAAAAGAGTACATCTGGGCTCATCTGGGATGAATCCCAGGTACTGATAGTCCCTAAAAGCTTTTCACGTGACTCTCCCCTGTACCACTGCTTGAATGGAGCAGCATTGCCATTGAGAAGGAAGGCTCCTACCAGAGTCACCAAGAATGAAAACTGTCACTTTCTCTAAACAAGACCCTGAGACTTTTAGAATATCACATGCTCTTCAGAGCTATTTGCTGCGTATGTTTCTTGTGCTCATCCTTAATCATGATTATCGCAAGGTCAGGAACAGAAGTAGGTTTGTTCAAATCATATGATGTCATTGATTAAACATACAAGTGTGCATGTGTGTGTTTCATGTTTTATTTTGATATAGTACCATAAAAAGAACTTCAACTTTTTTTCTATTATGGTTGTAGTTTTTCTGATTTAAGAATATATAGAAATAAATAGTAGATACTTAATTAAAAACAATTTAAGGCTAACAGAAGGAAGTCATTAAAAAAAAGTATAGTGAAAAGTAGATCTAAATCTTAGCTCATGGAAATTAATTACAACTGAGTTATTTTGTCTCATTAAACATCTTTCTTTTACATTAATGATGTATTTTGGTTTAAATTTTCTGTTTTGCTTTCAGTTTATTGTGCTTTTCCATGTTCCCTTATCTCTGCTGTCTGTCCCTCTTGCTTTGTGTGCTTCTGGCTGCTGCATCTCCTCCCTCCACTAACATGATCATCGGACAGCCTTTCACTACTCTCAGTGGTTACGTAGAGACGCAGCATGCTTCCCTATCAGAGGCTAGTGTGGAGGAGCACTAGCCGTTTTCAGGATAACAGAGTACAGTACTCTGCTTTAGGTTCATTCTCTCTCTCCCCCTCTCCCTTTCACTCTCAGTCTCTGTCTCTCTCTGTCTCTTCCTCTCCCTTCCCCTCTCAATCTCTCTCTCTCTATCTCTCTTCCTTTCCCTCTCAATTCTTCTCTCTGTCTCTCTGTCTCTCTCTCCTTTTCCCTCTCAATCTCTCTCTCTCTGTCTCTGTCTCTTTCTCTCCCTCTCAATCTCTCTCTGTCTCTGTGTCTCTCTCCCTCTCTCTCTCCACCCCCTTTTTTCCCCTGATCATATGAGGAATGAACTCGTGGCCTTTATACCAGCCTACATCCCCTGCCCTTTTTAATAAAATCCCCCCCACCTCCAAGGTCTCGCTAAGTCACTAAGTTGCCCAGGCCGGGCTCAAACTTGTACTCCTTGTACCTCAGCCTTACGGGGCTTGGGATTACAGCCATGTGCCCTCACCCCATCCGGCTTGAATTCCATATATTTTTGAACCTTACAAAATATTGTTTTATACATACATATCTATTTAAATTCATGCACCCATTTACCTTTTCATTGCTTTCTTTCCTTATTGCCTCTCCAAGTTTCACTGATACTTTTGCCTCTTGCCTCAACAGCACCTTGAAGAGTTTCCTTTAGAGCAGGTTCACTGAGGATAAATTTGGCTTTAATTCTATTTATTTTTACTTTTTTTTTTTTGGTACTGGGGATTGAACTCGGGACCTTATGCTTTCGAGGCAGGCGCCAGAACCACTGAGCTAAATCCCTGGCCCTGGTTTTAATTCTAAAAATGCCTTTATTTCACTCTCCATTTCATAAGAATACTTTGTAATTTGAAGCACACCTTTTTAGTTCTTAGGAATTTTAGCATAATTAGAGTAATATCTTCAGGATTTAAGATGAAATGTCTAATTTTTTGAGTCATGAACAGAAGCCTTTTTATGACTAAATGGTTTCTTGTTGGTCTGATGTTAATCACATGCAAGATGCTACCACTTGCTTTTGCCTTGTGTCTGTTGATTTTCAGGTTGGTCTTGGACAGCTGCATCTACACGGAGGGCGAGGAGTAGAACAGAATCACCAGGTAACTGCCCCATTCCTGGGCTTTGCACCTCATGTTGGAACAAGAAACTATGCTCCACATGTATTTTTTGCTAGGCAGTGCCAATGTGCAGCATATGTCATTTAAGCACTCATCACAAATGAGCTTTCAGGATCTACCTAACCCTGCAGGAAGTTAAAGAGTGAAAGCGTGAATAAACCTCAGAGTGGTGAGATGTATTCATGTTAAACCTAATTCTCCATGCTGTCCAAAAACACATACAGGTCTTGGTTTCCTGTAACTATGTGATAGAAGTAGGTCTTAAGACACCTTTTAGAAAATGTTTTATGGAACTGGGAGGAAAGTAGGTTATTTATGAAAAATTAAGAATATATAACTATAATCTAGTCACCAAGTTTTGTCTTTTCTCTATCTTAAATATGACTCGTCCTTCCCGTCTTCCCATCATTGTACCTAGCTCTTGTGTGAAACATTTGCCACAACCTTCTTCCCTAAGTCTCAGTAAACTGCATATCTGATCCTCTGGTTCCAAGATGAAAACTCTTAAACGCTGTGATTTCCAGTAGTTTAAAATCCAGTCTTCATGCTCTCCAAGGCTTTGATCCAATCTGTTTTTCTTAGCAGCCCCTTGCTCCCCAAGTCACAGACCCGCAGACCTTTTCAAAAATATCTGAGCCTCTCAAGGTCACCTCTGTCTCAGAACTTCCGAGCCACTGGTCCCTCTGTCTGGAATGACTACTGCTCCACCTGCTGTCTTCATGTGGCTAATTCCTGCCCATCCTCCAGAACTCAGCACCAACCTATCATACATCTCCCCTGAAGCCCAGCCTCATAGGAATAGGTCATGTACCACAAAGAATTTCTGAAAATCTCTACCCCTTGTGGCCCTTGTCCATTGTAAATCAGTTATGTAATGAAGTGTGTCCCCTGCTAGAACCTAAAGTCCAAAAGAGCATGAACCATGTCCACTTCGTTTGTCACTTTATTCCCAGCCCCAACAGGGCCTAGCCTGTAGTAAGTTCTCAGTAAATGTTTATCAGACTACTAAAACTTTTCTACCATGCCAATTAAGTATACTAATTAAGGTCTTTTTGTATACTTGTATCCCTTTTAGCTTTAAGAATAAAATGGTAGCAAAATATATTTTCGCTAAAACTGTACCAAATATCGATGGGTTTGCTTTTATTCAGACAGCTTTTGGCAACTTTCGTTGTCTTTAGGTCATTGAGATGCATTTCTTATGCCAGTGAAGCATCAGATAAGCTAGTAATGAAAGCATCAGGTAAATGAGTTTGGTGTATAACTTTTGCATAACAATTTTGAGAATATTCTTATATGGTACCTGTGAATAAAGCAACTACAAAATGATCAATTATCGCAAAAGAAATTAGTAACTAGTTCATAGCTGTATTAGTTCAATAAATATTTCAGTACCTACTGTGTCTCATTCACTGCTAGGTATTTAGGATACAATATTGAACAGAATAGCTTTGGTCTGTGTCTTCACAGATCTTCAGTTCAGTAGGGTCATTACATATTTAAGTGATTGCACCAACAAATGAAGAAGTAAAGGATGTAATAATTGGCTAATCGGTGGAAGGAACCATTTGTCAGGGAAGCCTTTTCTAAGGAGATGTAGATGATATTTCATTTGACAGGAGAAGTAGTGTCATCCTGGGCCAAAAAGAACAGAATATGCATAGGACCCAGAAAAGGGCTGGTATGCCCAAAGTGCAGAGATTTTTATACATGGTGCAGTACTGAGATAAGCAGTCCATCCTTAATCATACCAGTATATCCCTCAAGCTCCAAGAGGCTATAAGGGTCAACATTGTCAGATTTCGAAACATTGGTTCTGGCTGCTGTATAGAGAATGAATTAGAAGAGGAGAATACAGTGGACCCTTGACTTATGAACTCCATCAGTTCCTGAGAGTTGGTTTAAACTCAAGTTGGTTGTAAGTCAATACAGCTGAGATGTGGATGTTTACCAGGGTACACGTTATAGATTACAAGAGGCAAATGAATCTTCAATTAATGTAATTAACCTAAGTTGTTCATATGTCGGGCTGGTCATAACTTGAGAGTCCACTGTAGTTCAGAAGTTCATGTGAGAGAAAATGTAGCTTGAACTAGAACCATGATAATGGAAGATACTGGATAGATTCAAGATGTATTTGTTGGTCACCAGGACATAGTGATGCATTGGGTATGAGTGAAGGGGTCAGGTCCCTTGAGCAACCGGTAGGTTGCATATAGCCTAGCTAAACAGAAATACTGGAGGAGAAGCAAGGTGAGGTCAAGAAGAGATTTCAGAGATCTGCCCAAGCTTTGAATGTTCAGAAGTAGAATAGACTACTTTAGAGCAAAAGTAAAATAAAATTTAGAGGTTACTATCATCTTGATAGAATGTGAAGCCATGGGAGTGAAAATAAGATTGCTTAGAGAATGTAAAGTGACAAATCACAAATTGAGCCCTAAAATAAGTAGAGTTCAACCAGTAGAATAAGAATCAGCAAAGGAGGCTTAGATGATACAAGTAAAGGGAGAAACCAGGAGAGTGACATCCTGTATGCCAAACAAAAGAGTGTTTCAAGAAAGAGAGAGATGGACTTTGCCACATGCTATAGAAAGGTGGAGGGAGATGAGACAAATTTTACTGGCAATATGAAAGTCATGGGTGGCTTGGTCAGCTTTCTTCCTGAAGCAGTGTGGATGGAAACCAATTAAGACTGATTGTAGGGCACATTGAAGCGCCTGTAGTCAATTCATTTGAGAAAATTGTGAAGGAAGGTAGTTAACAAGTCATCATTGAAGAAAAATTGGGAATCTAAAGGAAACATGGGTTTTGTGTGTTTTGGTTCTGCTTTTTAATAACAGATTACTAGAATCCAGTTGAGTGGGAAAGGACCAAAAAGAAGGGGAGGTTAAATCAGCAAGGCGCAGAAGTAATTGATGGTACAAGGTCTTTAACAAAGATGGACGGTACAGTTGAGGGTAATGTTAATGAATTCTGCTGACGCCAGTTTGTTCAGTTATGTGATTTTTAAGTAGAATCCAAAATTTGTTTCTAAACAATACAAAAGTAAGTTTTATTTCTTTAGAGAACAATGAAAATATGTCCCATGGCTTGTAAAGACCTTAGGTTTTTTTCCCTTCTCTCAGGTTACCAATAGTAAGGTAGTGAGAAGAAATTGAGCTGCTGTTAGGTGTCGTAAGCAGCCTGAATCTTGCTGACATTGCATGTAAATAACACAGGTCTTCTTGGCTTAAGTTTAGGAAATACAAGAATTTCTTTGTGGCTGTAACTATGAAATGACTTAAGGATACATGGTTCCTTGGTGTAGCTAGTGGATAAAACAAAGCTTCTAGATATACAGATTTCTAACTATTGATGACTGGATATTGTTTATTTATAAAGCCACATAATATAACAAGATTTCTTTAGTGTTCCTGGAGTAATTACTTCAGCTAAAACGGATTCTTTTAAAAACTAATGATTATCATAAATTCTTTTCTCACAGAGAGCATTTGACTACTTCAATTTAGCAGCTAATGCTGGCAATTCACATGCGATGGCTTTCTTAGGAAAGGTCTGTATATCCTGGGAATGTATTATGCAATAATAAAAGATGTTTGCATAATAAGCACATATTATATTCAGAAGTACAGTGTACCAAAAATAAATGGGAAATAAAATGTCCAGTACAAAGTTGTATCTTGTCTTGAGGTAAATGCTATTCTGAGGCATTTTCTTAGGCAACTTAAAAATACAGTATTTGGCCATTAATATGTTAATCCTCTGTTGAGTATCTGAGCTCTGCTTTGTGGCATTTTACGCAGTAATGACAAATTTACACCTTATGTTGTACAGTTTTTTGCTGAGGTTGTCACAATTGCATGTTTCCTTTCATGCAGAATGAAGATAAGTGTTCATTGAAATTTATCTACAGAACTGTTTAAAATTGACAGTTTAAATACCTACTTCTCAGTGTAGTTCTTTTGGAAACATGTACATCTAAAGAATTACTGAGTAGGGCCCGGGGATTTAGCTCAGTGGTTCCGCCACCTGCCTCGCAAGCACAAGGACCTGAGTTCCATCCCTGGTAAAAAAAAAAAAAAAAAAAAAAGACTTACTGAACAGATTCCATAGAAGAATCTCAAAACTTCTTCATTATTTAGAAAACTAATGCAGTATAAGCCAATGGTTATTTTCATGTACAACCAGATTCTAACGTAAGGAAGTTCAGACAGACTGTATCTCAGAGGTTTGTACACATAGGAAAGTCTCATCAATATTTCCCATGTGATCACAAAGGCCTGATAACTACATTTAAATGTTCCAACATAGCATGGAAATTGGTATTACCCCATCCATTTCTGTTAAGTATTTAAAAACTTTTTTTTTTTGGCCCTTGCTTTGAATTACTAATTAACCCTACCTCAGAACACAACTTTGTTAATTCTCCAACGTGTACTTGGATAATTAATGGCACTGGCCATTCTGTTTTCCTTTCTTTTAGTCTCTTGTTATATTCCATACCTGATACTCTCATTGTTTAATATTTTAAACCTTTTTTAAAAAAACCTTTAGGTATTTTTTGTCCTGAACTTAAGATCTATCATTTCATTTCCCTTACCCTGAGAGAAGCAGAGGTGGGCAGGGGAAGTGAATCCTACTGATGGCCTCCTTGGCCTCCTCTAGCCACCCACTTGAGCCCAAGGCAATCATTAGCCATGTGACTGCCCTGGAATAGACCAAGACAGATTTGTCTGCAGGTTAAAGGTTTCTTCTTTTGAGATGAGTCTGTAAGCTGATTTTATACATTTGTATTTATGCATAAATTATAAATTTGATGTGACATGAAATATATTTTTGCTTTTAACTCTAAAATACTCTGTGGAGGATACTAAACTTTGGAAAGATTTCATGAGACTTAATAAAAATCAAAATGAGTTGAGATTTTTAAAAATGTAATTGGAGAGAGAGTTACTGCACTGACCGAAACTGGGGTGTGTTTTCTAGATGTATTCAGAAGGAAGTGATATTGTACCTCAGAGTAATGAGACAGCTCTACACTACTTTAAAAAAGCTGCTGACATGGTAAGCCTTCCTGACTCGATGTATTGCTAATATTTAACAAATGTATGACATTGAAAGATTAATCATAACCAAGTCATGCCATAAGTCATTAAAGGTCTGTATGTAAATATGATTCATGTGAAAATACTGACTGGACAGTCTTCCTAATAAGCAGGAAAAATTTTTTTAGGAACTAGACTGTTGAATATTAACTCTGTTTCAATTTCTTTGAGAAGTTTCCTAATCAAGGAAACATTGATCTTAGCAGTGGAATTGGGAGTTATATAACCTCCCTTATTTGGATGGCAACTTGAAGTTTAAAAGGTTACATAATTGGGCTTTTTTGATAATCTTAATACATAATTTGGCTTTCTTTGGCCCAGAGAAAACTGCATGTGTGTAGTGATGCTGTGTCTCTCCAGCATGTTCACTTACTTACCAACCACGTGTTCCCATACTCCAGCTGTCACCTGACTGCTCTTCAGAGGAGTACTGTTGGCCCCTTTGTTGACACGTTTTCTGTTGTGTCAGCTTTGGTGAACTCTGGATTTCTCTCTTTTGAATCTCAAAGCAACTATTATTATTTGAGTATCCTTGCTCTGTGACACTTTACTAATCTTAAGTATATCTTTGCCACCTGAATAGTGGCATTGCTGTCATTACATTTGACTCTACCCAAGGTTAAGAGGGAAGATGTCATGAAGTAGAGTCAATAGTCATGTGACATCTTTTAATCTTTATGAAATATGTTATTCATGTTTTATATCATAAATCCATGATATAGATAATCGTAAGTCACTAAAATTTAATTCTAAATGAATTACTGCTTACTCTTTGTAACCAGATTCCTGTCAGTCCCACCAAATGTCTGACAGTTAGTACTATGTTTCGCCTGATAGGAAAGGAAAAGTTTTGAATTGAAAACTATTAAAACATGTTTTGAATGTGTTTATGAATGATTGCTTTTGTAGTCATTTATTCTTGCCCACTTTTCAGTGAATTCTTTTCACTCTTGTCTACTTTCTCTGGATTTCAGGGCAACCCGGTTGGACAGAGTGGGCTTGGAATGGCCTACCTCTACGGGAGAGGAGTTCAAGTTGTAAGTGTTCAGCTTAGTGTTCTCACTCGAATACCAATCAGCTAACGAGGTCAGGCGGTGTTCCGCCGCTAGTGTCCAGTCAGCCCAGGGTGCTCATTCCATGGTGCCTAAAGTTGAGTGTTTTCCCCTTGTCTCTGAGTCTGGCTCCCTGCCGTGTCCTGCCCTAAACCCCTTTCTTGCTGTCTTCAGAGGATGGCTCCAATTCTGGCATCTTCTGACTTGGGTGAAGCTGTTCACTTTTGTCTCTGCTCTTTGTCCTCCTCACTCTTCCCATTTCTCTAAGACTAAATACCTCCCTTGCCTACTGCTTAAGTCAGTCTTACAAAATGCTTAAGTCTCCTGTTTAGGAGGGAGAAGCTTTCCATTCTGCCCTTTGCCCCTTCTAGCTACCACCTCTCTTCTCCAGCCCTCAATACAAAGCGAAATTTCTCCAAATAATAAACTTCATGAAGCCACTGTCATTTGTCCTGTAGTTCTTAGCAGTACTGCCCTCTCTGTCCCTCTCTCTCTCCTAAATGCCAGTCCAGTTGACATTTTTTGGTTCTACTTCACTTGAGCTTTCTCTTCCCTGGGGCTCTGTGGCTGCTGGCTCTTGGTTTTCATTGGCCATAGTTTCTCATTCTTCAGTGCTGCCTTTTCATGTTGGGTATCCCTAGATTTGTGATGTGTTCCTGTGATCTCTCCAATCAGTGTGTTCTTTTAATTTGGGCCTGAAAGTAAGATCTAGATTTAAGAGTGTGATCTGTGGTTACTCCCAAACACAAAACACAGTGGTGTGGTCTCGCTGTGACTCCTCCTAGTCATTTTAGGATACCGAAGTGTGGAGCAGTCTTTAACTTTTCTCTGGATAACCTTTGCAATCTAGCGGTCATAGATTGTCTGGTAAGGTACACAGAGCAGGAAAAATTAAGGAGAGAGGTTTTTTTTCTTATTCGATATTAGAAAAACTGGTTTAAAAGGATTAGTTGGTTAATAGAAAAGGGTGACGATTTCTTCTGGTCTCATATTCTAGCTTTTATGCTGAAAGCAATCACACAAATTGTTTTACAAGACTTTTATTTGTTTTTCTTCAGTCTTAAGTATTTATTGCTCTACAACTTGAAACATTAATATCTGTAAAAAATAGTCCTTTTAATAACTCTTGAAAATATTTTAGTTTCTTTTGTTTATTCTTTTTACTGTGAATCTCTTAACTTCTAAATGTGTCAGCCCTTTAAGCCTTTTCATCATTTGATGTCTTTTCCTATAGAATTATGATCTGGCACTGAAGTATTTCCAGAAAGCTGCTGAACAAGGCTGGGTAGATGGACAACTACAGCTTGGTTCTATGTACTATAGTGAGTAACGTTGGAATTAACTCATTTATGCCAAAGGTTGCAATTTTTGCATGAAATTCATACATATTACCTAGAAAAGCTCAAGGAACAAAAGTTTGAAGAGAAAAAGTTTTATTATGTTCCATTGTTATGTGCCATTCTGAAAAATGGAACACAGCACATAAAAGGTTTAACAGTGAAGACACCAAGACCTAAACTAATGTATTTTCCGCTAGGTGGCACGATGATATGGAAAAGAGGGCTGTCCAGTTCTGGCTTTAATGTTCTCCAACTCAGTTGTGTGTGTGTCTTGCGGTTTGTTCACTGTAAATTAATCAGTATTAATATATTAATCTTTTTAAATCAGGTTCACTTGTTTACTATGAATTTTGACTTTCCTAACAGTTTTATTCCTCATAGGGAAGTCTACTCTGATGCTTACCCAAATCTTAATTTAAGGCTCTTACAGACCTTTTATGTGACTTTTTTTTTCCTTACAGATGGTATTGGAGTCAAGAGAGATTACAAACAGGCCTTGAAGTATTTTAATTTAGCTTCTCAAGGAGGCCATATCTTGGCTTTCTATAACCTGGCACAGATGCATGCCAGCGGCACAGGTGTGATGCGGTCCTGCCACACTGCAGTGGAGGTGAGGTGCTTCTCCTGGCCCATGCAGAAAGTGGGTTTTCCTTTTCCCAACAAGGGGCTGGCCCTTTCATTCTGGCTTTCTTTGCATGCTTTCTTCTCCTGTAGAAAAAGACTTAGCTTTCTTACGATTACTGTACTAAGGGAAGACCCTGGAGGTCTGCGTAACTGTTGTACTTACTTAGTTTGTCTCTCTGTTAGAATAGGTGTTCATGAGAGCAGATGGTGGTGTGTGCTGTATCTTGGACAGTATCTGGGGTGTGTGTGTGTGTGTGTGTGTGTGTGTATAATCAGCATCAAAGAGAAAGAATGTGCTGAATGAATGCTCCAAAGGGGAATGCTAATATCTCCTAATTGGAAATTTTCCTCTTTAGCTCCCTCAGACCTGACAAATCACAGTGACATTGATAAATGGTTAGCAAAGTTTCTAAATCTCTCTGTGCTTTAGTATTTTCACTTGTAAAATAGGACTGCATAGGAGGGCCCCTCATGAACTACTCGGCCGGACTTAGTGTGTTACTATCCATAATATACATACACCACTAGGATAGTACCTGGCTAGAGTGAATGGTATATAATTCTTTGCTGTTTCTTTATAAACATGTTAACTTCTGAAGAGTAAATAAAACCAAGCTTCTAGAGATTCAAAGAGTAAGCTTAACAATCACTTGTAGCCCAAGGTTCAGAAGTTAGTTTTTGGCATATCTTCCCTTTTTTCCCTCTTCTCATAGTTGTTTAAGAATGTGTGTGAACGAGGCCGCTGGTCAGAGAGGCTGATGACTGCCTATAACAGCTATAAAGACGGTGGCTACAATGCTGCAGTGATCCAGTACCTCCTGCTGGCAGAACAAGGGTACGAAGTGGCACAGAGCAATGCAGCCTTCATTCTTGATCAGAGTAAGGTTCATGTTAGTTCTCCTTATGTCTAACTGGGTTCATTAAACATTTCTCAAAATACAGTGGTTATACAATACATTTTCCCAATATTGGATGCCTAGAGCTGTAATTAGTAATTAGTCTCATTATTGGTACAATGGTCAAAACGTGTTTCAGGAAGTAGCAGCACCCCAAATCCATTGACTCCTTTGAGCTCAATCTTTTATTCAGATACTTGTTTGATTTCAATACTCACGTAATACTTTTTATGTGCCACACATCCACACTAATTTGCAAATGAAGCCAAAATTCTAGTGCCTTTCCTTGACTGCTTAATTTGTACTTTCTTTCTTCTCCTGTAGAAGAAGCTACCATTGTTGATGAGAATGAAACTTATCCCAGAGCTTTACTACATTGGAACAGGGCCGCCTCTCAAGGTGAGTGGTTAGTACTAGGATAAAAGTTTGACCCAGGGACCTCTCTATTGATTTTTATCTCCCATGAACATTGTCATGTCATTCATCACTTTAAAATTAAGCAAAGAGGGCCAGGGATTTAGCTTAGTGGTGCCACCACCAGCCTCGCAAGCTCAAGGTCCCAAGTTCAATCCCCAGTACAAAAAAAAAACAAAAACAAAGATACTGTTGCTTAACTTGATTACATCATGATCAGAATTTATTCTTTTTTTTTTTTTTTCCGGTACCAGGGATCAAACTCAGGCCCTTGCACTTGTGAGACAGGAGGCAGCACCACTGAGCTAAATTCCTGGCCCAGAATTTATTCTTAAAATGATAACTCTAGCGCCGGGGTTTCTAAATTGAATCGTACTGTCTTTGTACTGGATATTCCATCTTACTATGGTTTGTACTTTGGTGTAGTTGAGGCCAATTTATTATATAAAATGAGACTTGAATAGAATGTGTAATAGAATATTAGCCTAAAAGTCAAGAGGACACTGTCTTAGTTACTTTCTCATTGCTGGAACAAAATGCCCAATACCACCCACAAGTTAAAGGAAGAAAGGTCTATTTTAGTTCACAGCTTATAGAGGTTTTAGTCCATAGTTACCTGGCTCCAAGGCAGGGCAGCATGGCAGAGGGGAATCACGGAGGAGAAACAGCCCAAGGCATGGCAAGCAGGAAGCAACAGCCTTCCTTCTGCTTTTGCCTTTTCCCTCCAAGCTGCAAGCCTATTAGTTGATGCCACCTATACCCAAGGTGGGTCTTCTCTCTTCAGTAAGTCCATCATACCCACCCAGAACTGTACTAAACAAATCAGTGGACTAATGTAGTATCACTCACCCATAATCACACACCCATGATCCAGCCACTCCTAAAACTCCCACCTATGAGTGCATGAGGTTTTCTGGAGACATCTAGATATAAGCCATAACTGACTCTAACCTTTCCCTTGTCTTTTTCTTTTTAATATATCTTTCTCACACATACTCTACTCAACAATGCCTGTCCCTTCTTCAAAACTAAGCAATGGTTAAACTTTTTAAAGATGTGAACAGTGTGATAAAGTAGATCACAGTCATTTAAGAGGAATATTTAGTAAAACAATACTGCTGCTTTGTTTTATTTTTCCCTAACTCTTACAGTGCATTCTGCAAAAGAGGTATATTTATAGTTTAAATTTTCACTGACCCTATGGCTTAGACAAGGGTTGTATTATAAAGTTTGTGTACTATGAATTAAAATTCTTTGTTTTATATGAGCATGTTAATGGAGATAATGACTTTGGTCTGTTTTAAGCACTTTATTTATTGGCAGTTTTGCATTTAACTTCTTTAAGGCTATACTGTGGCTAGAATTAAGCTTGGAGACTACCATTTCTATGGATTTGGCACTGATGTAGATTACGAGACTGCATTCATTCATTATCGTCTTGCTTCTGAGCAACAGCACAGTGCACAAGCAATGTTTAACCTCGGATACATGCATGAGAAGGGCCTGGGCATTAAACAGGTGAGTGTGGCTGCTTCTCAGCAGATGTTCAAGTCATGGGATGGTGATGGGAGATGCCTGCCTTTGTATGGAAAGTAGACTTGCTTTGGAATTCCATCAGATGTTAGGCCGTTAAGTTCCAAACCTGAGTTGTTATTTTGGAAAACTGCCCTGGAATCTCATCTCCCAGCACACACACATCAATCTCTGCACTGTTAGAGTGAGGGTATTAAGCTGAAGACAGATTCATGAAACAGAAATGTAGCGTGCCTCTCTTAACAGCTCCTTGTTTAAGAAAATATCTCCATCTTCAGCCAGATTCTGTGTTGTTCCTAAAATTTTTTATGGTTTGTTTTTGTTTTTGTTTTAGACAGGGTCTCACTGTGTAGTTCACCCTAGTCTTGAACTCCCTCTGTATTCCAGGCTGGCCTTGAACTCACAGCAGTCCTCCTGCCTCAGCCTCCTGAGCCCAGCTTCCTAAATTATTTTAGAATAAATTAAAATTTTTTCTGATGAACTTATTTCTGATTCTTATACCTTCCTAATGAAGTCTGACATTCTCTAAACCCATGGTGTTATGTTTTTGCCTGCATAACCTCAAAAGAATTTTGAAAAAATTATGTATTCCGAATTTTTAAGTTGACATTTAATATTTGTCTTATGTTGGAAAAAATCTAAATTTCAGCAAAGCCAGGCATGGTGGCACATGCTTGTATTTTCAGCACTTGGGAGGCAGAGGCAGGAGAATCACAAGTTTAAGGCCACCCTGGGCTACATAGTAAGACCCTGTCTCAGTCAGTCAACCAACTAACCAGTCAACAAATTCCAGCCATTTTAAATACCAACATTTTTTAAATAAAATTATTAAATTGCTCTTAAAATGTTCATTGGAATCTAAATAACAAATGATATCTACCATTATTGATTTTTATATATAAAGCAAGTTCTTTAGTTGAAAATTGTATCTTTATACCTCAAAGAACTAGGACTAGAGGTCCCATTTGACCCAGCTATTCCCCTGCTGGGTATCTTCCCAAAAGAATTAAAAGAATCATACCACAGTGATATACATGCACCCATGTTCATAGCGGCACAGTTTGTAATAGCTAAAGCTTGGAAACAGCCCAAGCAAGTGCCCATCACCTGGAAACTGGATAAAGAAAATGTGGTTTTTTTATAAAATGGAGTACTACTCAGCCATAAAGAATGAAAAACTAGAGTCATTTATAGCTAAATGGATGTATATCAAGGCCATACTCTTAAGTGAAATAAACAGGACACACACGTGTAAATACCAAGTAGTTTCACTAGTGTGAGAAACTGATAGTGTAAACAAGAATTAAAATGATTAAAATGAATAATTGATAATTTGAAATAGGAAAAAAGGTCCAAAGACGAAGGAGTGAAGGGAGGGGAAGGGGAAAGGAAAAGAGGGAAAGGAAGAACTATGAGAAAAGAAAAGAAAAATGGAAATGAAATCTATGTAAATAGGGGAGGGCGGAGAGGGTGAAGGGCGCACAGGTAATGGGGAAAAAAACAAGAACCAAGATACATCATGTACAGGTACAAACACCCAATGATAAATGTAAACGAATTGTATACCTAAAGTGTACCAATAAAATGTACCAATAAAATTAATTAAAAAAAAGAAAATTGTATCTTTAACTTTGCTCCTTAACTTTATATTTTTAGCTAGACATGGTGCACCCCTATAGTCTCAGCACTCGGGAGGCTGAGGCAGGAGGATTACTGTGAGTTTGAGGCCAGCCTAGGCTACATAGTGAGTTCAGGGTCAGCCTGAACTACATAGCAAGACCCTGTCTCAAAAAAAAAAGTTTATATTTTCAACCACTGCTTCCCCATATAAAATTACATTCTAATGTTATATTTTTAATGATTAGGTCTTTATATATATTTTTTGTTTTGGTTTGGTTTTTTTTGTTTTTTTGTACCAGGGATTAAACTCGAGTCCTTGCGCTTGCGCAGCAGGCGGCGAAACCACTGAGCTAAATCCCCGTCCATGATTAGGTCTTTAATGGTCAGTCCATCATATTTTCAGTTTCATAGTTACCTGAAACAATTACACAAATTTATTTTGAGCTTTATTTTCTATGATCTAGAAATTTTAAAATTAATGTTAAAAATTTAGATGACTAGTCACAGCTGGCCAGTTATTAATACATTGTTAATCAAATCAATAAAATAATATGATTTTGATTTTTTAAAACTTTGTGTTTTTTAAACAGTAAGTATGTGTAACTCATGTATAATTAATGTATGTATAATTAGCACCAATTCTGCTTTTTGTTTATATAAATGTGTGACTGAAACTTGTTCACATAAATAAGTTTGTAGGAATAGAAAATAGTCAGTTCTTTCCATTCCTTTATCGTGATATGCCAAACATCAGTGATCTCGCCTTAAAACAGTTATTTTTAAGTGCACCGTCCACTGGCTTGATGAGGTGCCCCTCGTTTATGATAAAAGGAAAGAATCAGAAGCCAGCGGCTTGGAGGAGGAGGTGTTCCAGACCACTCGAGCCATTCACATTCATTTTCTGGGCAGAACACTGAAGAAGCTTCGCTGAGACTTCTGAAATGACTGCTAGTCCTACCCCTCGCTTCGTCACATTGGCCCAGGGTAGACTGAAATTTGTTAATTTCAGTTTGCTAATACACTGTTTTTTGGCAAATTGCATTTTCTAAAATATTTAGTTATTTCAACATGTAAATTTTTATATTATAAAGTCATCTTCACATTTGCAATATTAATTATTACTATTAGCTACTTAAATGTAGTTTTATCAAAACTCTGGGGCTGTAGACCCCATGCATTCAGTTTTGAGAAGATCTCTGCCATGTAACTTTTTATTTTTAATTTTTTTTTTTTTTTCAGTACCAGGGATCAAGCTTAGGACCTTGTGCTTGCCGGGCAGGCACGACACCACTGAGCTAAATCCCCGGCCCCCTGTGTAACATTTTTTTTTTCTTTTTCGGTACCAGAAATCAAACTCGGGTCCTTCTACTTATGAGGCGCGAGGTGGAACCACTGAGCTAAATCCCCAGCCCTCATAAACATTTTTAATGAAGCCTCTCTTGGTTGTCAGGCCAGTCAGCCCAGGCATATATTTAAGGGATACAACTAATAACTTGCTTTAATAATAGGTTATAAAACAAAAAAATTAAAGTGTACTTCTTATAATTTGATTTCTAATATAAAATATATAGTAAATAGTATAAATTTTTATGACAAAAAAAGGCATAATATTCTTTTGATAAGCATAGGGGGAAGGAACTTGAGTTCAACTTTTGAGAATAAATATTCCTGTACGAATATCATAATAGTTCTGTTACTTTTTATAAGACATCATGATTACCTTTTCCTATTTTTCCCTATTTTTAAATGAAAGAAATACTTATACTGCTGCATACTAACCATTTCACCATCTAGTATAGCTAGAAAAATGTAAAGTAGGGGCCGGGGATTTAGCTCAGTGGTTCCACCACCTGCCTCACAAGCACAAGGACCTGAGTTCGATCCCTGGTACCAAAAAAAGAAAAAAAAAAAAAATAGGAAAATGTATTAAGTAAAGATGAGGACAGTTGGAAACAGGATTTGCTAAATCTTAATCACCCTGTTGAATTGTCTACAGTTTCTGTTATCACATAGTTTGAACCTATGATCTTAAAAAATAGAGCAGTCCAAAAAATATTCGTTTTTTTGTTTTGTTTGGTTTGATTTGGTTTGGTTTGGTGTGGGGGATGGATCCTAGGGCCTCGGACACACTAAGCACATGCTGTACCACTGAGCTACACCCCAGTCCTGCGCTAATGTATTTTTTTTTTTCTCAAATTCTTTTATCGGTACATTTTAGGTATACAACACATTTACATTTCTCATTGGGAACTTGTACCTTTACATGATGCATCTTGGTTCTTATCTTTCCCAATTCCTAGCCCTCCCTTCATCCCCTCCACCCTTCCCTATTTACAAAGACTTTATTTCCATTTTTTCCATTTCTCATCATCTCATCATCCTGCGCTAATATATTTTATAAAAATCAGGGACACCATACTATTGGTATTTTTTGAAGGTACCATTCTTTTTAACTAATGTCATACCAAGGACAAACTGAAAGTAACCGTATTTACTTATGGGGGGGGGTCCTTTTTAGCCCTTTCTCATGTCTCATGGGATTCTTTCCTATGAGTTTGGTATTTTTCAACAATAGTCAGGAATGGAAGAAGAGAGATTTTTAAGTGAAAACTGTCACAATTCCCACTATCCCATTCATTCTAGCACATACCTGAATTCCCAACACTCCACCCTGAGCCTAAATTAATAATGACTTCTGTGCTCCTTTATAGAAATACACCTAAAACAAGATGTCCTGTAACAGGTTTTCAATTCATCAATACCGGAGCCTTCTCCAAAACCAGTGTTTCAGGGTGTGTCTCCATGCGATGAGCCCCGAGGTCTTTCTGTGCCCAGGCAGTGCGCCTGAGGCAGGCTGGCAGGCAGCCGAGCCGTGGGGCTTTCTCTGCAGGGGAGAGAGGTGCTGAGCACACAGCCTGTCCTCAGAAGAGAGCGTGTGTGGACACTGAGGACCTGGAGTGTCGAGGCCTCTAACACTGAGCAAGACAAGCGCCTCTTGGAAAATCTTGAGGGAACTAAGAATTTAAACTAAATCAAAATGTCTTACACTGAGTGATGTTTAAGTAGGAGAAAACAACTTGAAACTTGGAGCTCACCCTTTGAATCTCCAGGTTCACGGTAGCCATGCCTGCGTGCAGCCAACAGGATGTTACATTGGAGGAAAGTGAGCTAAGTGTTGTAACTTCTTATGAAATTCATCAAAATTTACAGTTAGATAATTAAAGAAATCAGAAAACTTGGGTTTTTCTTTAGGTGAGGAAAATTCATTTTTCTTTAGGTAAGGGAATTTCATCTTAAAATGAAAACTTGAAAGGTAAAACAAATTTTCCTAATATAAAAACTAAGTAAGTATTCTTACCTGGTTTGACACGGAATGAATTTTGGTCTTTTGCCTGTATTACAGGATATTCATCTTGCAAAACGCTTTTATGACATGGCAGCGGAAGCCAGCCCCGATGCACAAGTCCCAGTCTTCCTAGCACTCTGCAAATTGGGCGTTGTGTACTTCTTGCAGTACATCAGAGAAACAAATGTAAGTGGTCTGTGGATCTTTTAATTAAAATACAAATGATACCACTGTCTCAGGCCTGGGAGTTTGTATTTAATAGTTCTGGGACATAGGGAGGAAAACCCTGGGAGTGTCGGGTCTTGTCCCTTCTGCTCACCTGAAGCACCAAAAGACCTCATCAGGTGAGGACTGAGTGTAGACGCAAAAGGATTTAGGCAGCATTATGAATTACTGTAGTTCCTAGTGCTCAGGCACTTTCCGTTGGTGCGGGTGTTTAGGGAAAACCGAGATGGATGTGTGGCAGTGGAAACCGAAGTTAACTAAACACAGTAAACATTAAGTCAGGTGACTGCCGGGTGAGTATTTGAACCAGTACCTTCAAAAGGAAAAGGGAAAAAGGAAGAAGAACCTGAGAAACTGCCCAGGCTGTTGTACTTCATATTTCTCTGGTAATAAAACATCAGTTATAATTGCCACCAGAATTTTCTTCCCTAAAGATAGCTTGAGTTGTTTAAATAATCTAATAGTAGAACCTACACAGGAGATGGGTTACCTGTTCTCCTCAAAACCATCAACTTGATTTAATAAAATGTACAGGCAGGTGCACTTAGAATCTACGAGTTTTATACTAGAGTTCTCCCTAAAATGTTCAGAACCCTTGTTAAAAAACAAAGGCCATTTAACTTTAGTTCATTCAGGACCAGGAAAGGTTGAGGTGTCAGGCCTTCGTCAGTGTCTCCTAGGACAGGTTGGTGCACTGCTGCGGCATTAGCTCGAGATCAGGCTTTCATTGACAAACGTAAATGTAATCTATCTGCTCCAGCATCGGCATTGGTGAAGAGAACGAGACTGCTGTCTCTGCCACCTGAGCCCAGCTCCTGAAGTCCTCTAGACGTGGGGCTCCCCGGTTCCTGTGTGTGTGTAATGCCAGCTGCCGGGACTGTGGAGCAGCAGGAGCCATGGTGTGCTGCACCCTCTGCCAATTGAAACAGTCTTGTTCCTCTGATTAAAAAGCTACTCATGTAGCAGCTCACTGACTCTCCGTCAGGACTACATCAGACCCCTGTCTCCCACAGCCTTAATCACTGGCTGCAGTCGAGGGCAGTGGTGGCCAGCCTATGGCATGTGTGTTGTTTTTCTTTTCTTTTTCTTTTTTTTTTTTTTGGTACCAGAGATCGAACTCGGGACCTTAAGCTTACTAGGCAGGTGCTGGAACCACTGAGCTAAATCCCCGCCTCCATATTGTTTTTCTTTGAAGACAAAAGATGCTAATATATGAGTTGTTTTTTCTAAACTAAAACCTCAGTATTCAGGTTTAATTGCAATGTTGGCCCTTTGTGATAAACAAGTGGGATTTGGGTTGCTATTTGGGCACTCGTCTCTCATAGGTTTGCCATCACTGGTCTAGGATGTTTGGTTTTTTTTGGTACCGGGGATCACACTCAGGTCCTTGCACTTGCGCTTGCGCAGCCAGCGGCGAAACCACTGAGCTAAATCCCCGGCCCATTGGTCAAGGATTTGATGTTGCATTATACACCATACTGAGTAGATTGTGTGTTTGATTTTTTTAAATACAGAAATGTAAAAGGTAGTAAAATAATCCTATCACCCAGATATTCCAAGTTTTAAAAAAGTATTGATGGTAAGAATGTCAGTACAGAAAAGCACAAAATCTCCCATCTCAGGTACCTTCTCAGGGAACACGGTAGTTTGCAATTTTGTTTCCAGAAAACCTTAGTACCTATACTTATAAGACCTTTTTAAGTATAATTTTATTTAAAGGAATACCTCATGTTTACTGTTTTGGGGGTAACAGAAAATGTCAGTAATTTCTCAAAAATGACAGTAAAACAAAAGTCTCATAGATGATGAGCATGATGATCAATTTTAAGTTCAAATTCATATTAATACAGTTTTAGTTAAAACCTAAGAAAAGCACATTATTCACCCAGATACTCAAGCTTCAAATTCCTGCAGTTTTTCGTCACACGAGAGAAGTAGCGGCACACCTCAGCTGTCCTTAGAACCGACCTTCACAGCCCCTGTGCCGTCACCACAGATAGATAACAGGTGTTCCCAGATGCTGGCTTTCTCCTCTTGTTCCTGTATTGCTCCAGTGTTCCTTTCAGACATTTGCTGTGAAAAATGGTTGGCAATTGATACATTATATTACTAATGAAAAGAACCCTATGAGACATTTTATATAGCCAGCTGCTATAAAATTATAGCTCAGTTCCTGAGACACTTTATTGTGAGCTTCAGTTGAAGGTTTTTAAAACACATTACAGAATATTCCAAATAGCAATTATCTTTTAAGTTCCATATTTCTCTCTAATTTGTGATGTAATTTTCACAGTCCCTTGCCTGACATTGAAGTAGTAATGATTTGTGTATTATTTTCATTAAGATCCGAGATATGTTCACTCAGCTTGACATGGACCAGCTTCTGGGGCCCGAGTGGGACCTTTACCTCATGACCATCATCGCTCTTCTCTTGGGGACGGTCATAGCCTACAGACAGAGGCAGCACCAGGACCTGCCTGTGCCCAGGCCTCCAGGGCCACGGCCAGCCCCGCCCCAGCAGGAGGGGCCACCCGAGCAGCAGCCACCCCAGTAATGGCCACCAGGCCCGGCCCGGAACCTCTTTGCTTCGAATTGCATTTGACTTAAGACTCTGGATTGGTGGCCACGTCCTGAAGAGGCACAAGGAAGTGTCGAATTCTTAAAGCTGCTTAGAATCTGATGCCTTCATTTTCAGGGATAAGTAACTCTTACCTAAGCTAAGCTGAATGTTTCAGTGCCATATGACATAACAACTCTCAGTGGCTTTCCTTTCTTTTTTTTTGGTCTGAAAACAGGTGAGACACTCAAAGTAATGTCTGCTGTACCAGCTGTCTTTCTCTTGGGTCCTTTTGCTCATTCTCTCAGTGTGCTGAAGTTCTCACACCAAACATCTTTAAGGTCTGTGCATCAACACTAAGAACTGATGTAAAAAGGAAAACCCAGTTAGTTGCAAGTTAACTGTAAACATGTTTAAAAGTCTGAAAGTAAAAAACAAAGATATCTTCAGAGTGTTTTGGAACTGCTATAACTGAGCAACTTTTACCAGTCCACTTGCAAGTATTCATATGCAGCATATTTTTTTCCTTTTAAAAGAGAAAGTTGGGAAGTTTCTTATTATTGGCAATTGTCACACTTCATGCCATACCTCTCTCCTTCAGAATCTGAAAGGCTTTGTTGAAAGAGTTCTGTGGGAACTTCACTTCCTTGTAACGGAATACGTGTAGGATTCTGTGAACAGACTTTGTTAATGTGAGTCTGCCTCACCTACTCAGTGTAATTTGCTGGTTTATTTTTAATATACAGAACCTTGATCTAGAAGCCAGAGGCTGGACTAAGTGGGAGAAGTTAAAAGCAATACTAAAAAAACTTCAGATGAGGTAGCAGCACCATAGACACGCTTTCCCAAAAGTTGAAGCATTTGCTCCCAGGTTTTATTTTACTTTGCATTTCTTACTGCACAAAGAACCGATCACCTTCCTGAACTCTTCAGATGTGAAATACCATTTTTAGTATATGGCACACAGTAACTACCATTATGATACTAGAAGTCAGAGCCCTGAAGACGAATTAAACTCAGTGACGGAGAGCAAGGCCTGTTTGTAACTGTTCGGTGTGTTCAGGTAGCTTTTCCTGTCTGACAGTTGCATGTTACAGGAGAAAGCCAGCCACTTGCTTCTTGATCACACTCACGTGTGCCCGGTGTTGGTGGCATCAGGAAGTTCAGGGCCGCTACACCATAGAATTGCCTGGTTAGACAGAAAACAACAGCCACAAAGAAAATTGGCAGCTTTGCAAAGTCACTCAAATGAAAGTACCGGAACGTAAGCTGAATTTGGATTCCTTTGTATCATCAAATGGTGGGAGCTGATCTGAGATTCACCAGTGAACAAGCAATCTGTGGATGTTTTCTCTAACCCTCGTCTGCCAGAAAACTTGAAGAATTGTCATGCTATGGATTTTGAAGTCGGGTTGTTTTTAGAACTAGATTTAATTAATCAACAGTGAACATGAAGGCTTTAAATGTGAACTTGTGTGCGTTTTTGTGTGTTTATTATGGGAAACCCGGCAAGCAAACTTTCCTCCCAGATACTTGCTTCTGTTTGAAGAGGTGGCCACACAGAGGACCATACATATAAAAGTGTATCTGTGAGAGAGCGGAAATCTGTCCTTAAAGGTGTGATGTTGCCTTGGGCAGCCCTTGTAAATACGAAGACTTGTTTGGTCTCCGACATTTAGAGATTGGACTGCAGGTGGCACAGTGTGTGGGCATCTTCACAGATGCCTTTGCTCCACCCCTTCAGAGCCAGTATCCAGGAGAACAGCCACGCTTCATTTAGAAAGCACTTTTAATTGATTCAGCTCAGTGACACACCTGCAGTCCTGGCCACTTGGAAGGATGAGGCAAGAGGATCACTTGAGCCCACAAGTTTCAGACCAGTTTGAGGCCACACACCAAGACCCTGCCTCAAGAAACCTGAAAATGCTTCTAAGAGATGGCTGCAGAGTTCCATTTCCCCCCCGCCAGCCACATCCTTTCTCCTCAAACAGCATTTTCAGATTGATCTTTACTTCCCTCCACTGGTACTCGGAGAAAACACTTCTTAAATCAGTGTGCACTACCTAAGGCTGGATGGGCAGGTGTGGTCTTGTTCTTCATGTACTAACAGGCTTCTTGTTCATCTACCCCTGCCATGTCCTTTTTCATTATCATTATTATTATTATTAATACTGCAAGTATCCTTCCCTTGGCTTGTTTCTACCTCCTGTTTTTCCCTGGGCCTTTTGCTTCCAAAAATTTAGATAGTATGTTTAACTCAGCCCTTACGGCTCATTTTAAATACTGTCTCAAAATACTTGGTTCCCTTTATCTTTTGGTTCGTGAGACATGGTACCAAAGCAAATAGGAATTGGGTTTGGTTTTTGTCCTAAAAATAATGCATAATACTTACCTAATCAAATGGCATCCATTTGAATAAAATGACAGTAACTACAGCTAGTTAATGTCAGTGACATTAAACTAACTCCAGGAGTCAGGAGTTCTAGCATTAGGGTTTAGAGTTGCCAGTAGAGGATGGCGTCATCTCTCATGCAGCCCTTCCCTCCTGACGCTTCTGCAGCCTTCTCAGCCTTCAGAGGTGCGAGACGCTTCAGTTTCTGTCTCTGTGCTTTGCTCCCTTGCTCAGCCAGTAGTTTCAGAACCTTGAAGCCATCTATTTTGTTTCTATCTTATTTTACCAAGGTGGCAGTGGTAGGTTTTTTGGTTGTGTTTTTCTTTTTGTGCTTGAAGTTTTTGTTTCTATTTTCAAGGTTAGGCTTGTCTTATTTTTGGAGGTAAATCACAGGTGGTTTTTATCCACAGTTGACTATTTGGCATTTAAATTAGATTATGAACTATTAAAATGTTGACATTCTGGAGGACACATTGCTCTTCTGCATATAAGGGTAATTCCTGAGAGTGTTAGCACCAAACTGTTTGTCTCTGTGCCATTGGAAAAGCTTAGAAACTTCTGCCAGCAATCTGGTGATGATCTGATGATGGATTAAATTAAAAAGCCTCCAGGAAATGCACACACACATACACAGCTTTTTGTGCTTTATTTTTCCTTCTCTTCTCTGCTCCTCATGTCTGTTCTTTCTTTTTTTCTTTTGGTACCGGGGATTGAACTCGGGTCCTTGCGCTTGTGACTCATGTTTGTTCTTCAAACCAATGTTCTGGAAGTATGCATGCAGGCTTCTAAATGAAAACCACAATTCTTCATGTGTGTAGCATGTGTACTAATGTCTATTTTGAGGCAGGGTCTCAATAGGTTGCCCAGGCTGGGCTCAAACTTGCAATCCTCCTGCCTCAGCCTCTCAGAGAGCTAGGATTACAGGCGTGTGCCACCATGCCTTGCACTAATGTCTAACTATATCTGCAAAAACTTCCTTGACAGAGGTTTGGACTAACATTTCACATGTGCATTTCAAAACAAGATGCTTCTTTACCTGGCAAAAAGAACAGGGCTACATTTGTTCCAGTATTTGTTTTTAAAGTGAACCTAATATATATTACACAATATTGTGACTAGAAATATGCAAGAAATAATTAGAACAAAAGAAAACCACTTTTTATGCACATGTTCTCATCAGTCATCGCTCAAATAGGAGTGAAAATATTAAATGTCTGAGTGGTATATTGTCTGAGGCACTACCTGGCTTTTAAATGTGTTGTCGTTGAAAAACTATATTTCTCCAGCTGAAATTTGAAGAAAATTTAAAATGACCCCAAGTACAATGATTTGTATCTAAATTGACCTGTTACAGAAGTAGAGATCCAATTTTTGTACACATGGGAAGGGCCCCTGTCTATGCTCAGGGCACCCTTTCATGTGTCGCATTTTTACTGTTTCGATTGACACTCCGGCTAACACTACTTCTCTTTCATTGAGAAAAACAAAGTTGTTATGAGCAAAGTAACCACTATACATATGTAGGAGAGGAAGTTTCAAAGACCATCAGCTGGCATTGTGAAAGAACACCGTGGTAGATTCTTTTTGTAAATTGATTTTGTATTTAATGAAATGCAGTATACAGACTGGCGAAGTGTAATATAATTGTGTAAACAAACAAACCCTGTTAATAGAGAGATGTACAGATTCGTTTTGTACCGTATCTTGAACCTTGTGAAATAAAGATTCCGCCTCTGGGTATCTGTGTTGTGTAGTGTACCACAACCATACTCCTTCCCACTCACCCCTCTTTTACCCTGAATGACTCGACTTTTTAATTTTTTGGAAATTCAGAAATAGCTGGAAACATTCATTCCAAGCAGTTCGAATCCACCTTTTGTTTGCAACTCCTGAAATTCAAATTCTGAAAGTTGAACATTGCTCTAGGGAGAAGACGGATTTGCTAAGAAATGTCAACTGTGGTACCTTAGACCCCGAGCAGCCTTGATACAGTAGAGCACAGTTCACCGTAACTTAGCCCAATCTTAGGCAGTCAGTGTATTCGGGCCTTCTCTTATTTCAGGGAGTTTTTTTGGGGGGAAGGGTACTGGGGATCGAACTCAGGTCCTTGCACTTTCGAGGCAGGTGGCAGAAGCACTGAGCTGAATCCCCGGCCCTCAGGGAGTTCTTAAATAAGGCTTGCATAGACACACACACCATACTGTACACAAAGTCTGTGTAGAATATGATGTAAATAAAGGGGAATGGGAAAGAAAATATTAAGCCAAGAGCCCTTAGATGCAAGTTAGAGGCTGGGGATGTCACTCGGTGGGAAGCTCTTGCCTCATGTATGAGGACCAGACTTCAGTCCCCAGCAGCAGCAGCAACAATGCCAGTTAGAAGTGGGCTTCAATCTGGCCCTCAGCTTCCTAGCAGCCAACTCAAAGAGGCAGCGGAAGGGACATGTTCCAGCCTGGGACATGAGATGTGAGCGAAAGTCTGGAGGTGAGGCGGCAGTGCTTACTTCAGAGAGCAGGCCGCTGAGGCTGCAATAACCGCCGAGGGCAGGTTGGGCATCAGAGCCACAGTTCAGCCTGGAGTTGGAGGTGACGCCTGCTCACCACTAAGCCCCCTCTGACAGCTCATTTAAATGAAGTCCCAGGGCTGGGGATATAGCTCAGTGGCACCAAGGCTGCCGCAAAAGGGCAAGGTCCTGAGTTCGATCTCTGGTACCAAAAATAATGGAAGTCCTCAGTCTCTGGATGAGAAACAGCCCCTTTTCCTTTTGCTTCCTTTAGGGTCCTGGTCCAGATTGGTTTTACCAGTTTTGAAATTTACTTTCACTGTCATTGCATAGATCTGAATTACATGTAAGTAAAAGCCTAGAAGTACCTAGGGGTGGGGAACACTTGGGAGTCTGAGGCAGGAGGATTGTCGGGAGTTTGAGGCCAGCCTGGGCTCCATAGTGAGTTTAAGGGCAGCCTGAACCATACAGTGAGACCCTGTCTCAAAAAAAAAAAAATTAGAAGTAATCTCTGTCATGGGAACTATGAAAAAAGCAGAAGGAAGTTTTTACCTTCTGGATATTTACCACAAATAAAAATAAAATTGGCTTTAGAATCAAAATACTCAAAAGCAAATGCTCTAATGCTTTAAAGCAAAATGAGCTTTAGAGCTCAAAAAGAAGTACTGCTATGTCATGAACCTTGTATACTTGTGTGACTTCTGCTATGGTTTCTACATAAGCTTACAATTGGATCCTGAGAAACAGGATACTATCAGTCTGGTAGAATTTTCAGACTGACAATGTTGTTACATTTTGGGCAAAACTGATTATCCTAAAGGCCAAGTTATTTTTCTCTGGATTAAGTTCTTTTAAACAGGACCTAGCCTGGCTGATTAAAAGCTGAATTGTGAGTTAAATGCCATTTCTGAACACCTACATAGTTTTCTCTCCTGTAAACTGGGTAGAATGTGGTCGGTCAGGTCGCTGACGGTGGAACATTCATGTAAGTATTTGTTCTTCAATCCAGTTTCTTTTGCCTGCTTGCTTCCGTCCAAGAGGATTTCACTGACTTTTCACTCTCAGGACTGAATACTTCCTCATGTCTTGCACATATTAGGAGACTTAAGTATCCTAAGGAAGGATTCTTCGAAAACGAAGATCTCATCAGTTTTGCATGATTCAAGACTTAAATGTGAACAGAAACCTCCATTCTTGCAAGCATTTATTTCAAGACGCGATGACACAGCTGTAGATTTCAGAATTTACACATCTGGGTTTCCCCGCTCTCCCCGCCTAGCCTCGCCCGTAGCATGCTTTTCTTAGGAAAATGATTAATTGAACAATGGAATCTGAAACACATGGAGATGAATCTCGATCGTGTGCGTGTGTGTGCGCACCAGTGGGGGAGCGGAGGGACGGTTTTGTATAAAATTGTCTTGTTTTTTCAGCCTGCACGTGTGTCGTTACTTTCTTTCACACACTATGTGGACCGTGTTCTCTGGCTGGTAGCATCTTCTGAAATGCAAATTTACTTCAGCGAGGACGTATTTCCCTATATCTCTATTTTGCCTAAAATATGGAATGTAAGTAGAACGGTCTACACTAGAGATGTGAACACCAGCCTTCCCCGCCTCCCAAAGGGAATTGAAGATTTACAAGTCTGTTTAAATGGCACCAGTGTTTCATCACCCATTTTGAGACTTCAAAGTAACCACACCTCCACAACCAAATTGATATTTTGTGTACTCGGGTTAGTTTAACCAAGGAAGGATGTGTTAGGTGTCACCAAACAGCACAGTAAATTAGGGCAGGACATTTATCCTGTACAGTACTGAAATAGAGGAAAGAATATCAACAGCAATGATACCAATTTTTTATTTTTTTTTGTCGCTTTGTAATTTAGGCTGGCCTTGAGCTCTCTGTGATTCTCCTGCCTCAGCTTCCTGAGTGCTGGGGTTATAGACACAAGCCACTGCACCTGGCTGAGCTTAACCCAATCTTAATTATAGAAAATTAAATTGCATCCCATTAGAAGTATTACCATTATCAAGGGGCTTTTTAACTGTGTCACACCTCTAGGGTGAATCATCATGACAAATGGGGTGGATGCCTAAGGGAGGGGTGAGCTATACCGAAGCTGGTTTGACATTCCCAACTGCTCCTCCCGTCATCCTCCTGGGTTTCCTGACCCCCTCGCTTTTTTTTATTTTTGGTACTGGGGATCGAACTCAGGACCTTGCATTTGGCAGGCAGGCAGCGGCACCACTGAGCTAAATCCCTGGAGCTGGGGATTTAGCTCAGTGGTTTCACCGCCTGCTGAGCAAGTGCAAGGTCCTGAGTTCGATCCCCAGTACCAAAAAAAAATGCCCAGCCCTTCCTGACCCTTTCTGTAGGGATTAATGAGCAACTCTAAATGCAAGGAGAGCCGGGAGGCGGGTTCCACAGGGTTCTGCTGGGAGTGGCCAGGGGGCGGGCAAGCCGCTTACCCTACATGGTGTCCACAGCATCAGGAGACGGCCTGCCCTGGACGGTCAGGAAAGTCCTGCCCAACTGCTGGAGGTCTTGGATGTCAGAAGTAATTGAAGTGACTTTTTCACCAACACCAGATTCCTATAGGGCTTTGAGGTGGAAATAACACATTCCAGTCTCCTAAAATGGTTGCCTCAAAATATAAGCAAAATTGCCATGTATGTTTCAAAGGTCAATCTTAAAGTTCATAACATTTATAACATAATAATTTATCCTTCATTCACTAGCCTTTATCATACTCTAGGCTCTATGTTCCAGGTACTGAAATGTAGAATGAATGCTGAGATGGGTTTGAGCCAGGCATGCTGGTGCATGCCTATAATCCCAGCATTCTGGGAGGCCGAGGCAGGAAGGTCACAAATTCAAGCTCAATCTGAGCAACTTAACAAGACCCAGTCTCAAAAAAAAAATTATTTTTAAAGGCTGGGGACATAGCACAGTGCAAAGCCCCTGAGTTCAATCTCCAGTACTGAAAGAGAGTTGGAGGGAAAAGGACACAAAAGAGTGAATTTAAAGAGGCTTTTGTCCTCTGAGAGCCATTTTTGCAATTGACTGAACACGTGTGACAGGCACTAAATGACGTGTTACTGAGTTTAATCTTACTCCATGATGTTGGCACTGATCACTCCCACTTAACAGATAAAGGTGCAAACTCAGAGATGTTGCAGAATCCCGGAACTGCAAATGGATTGCACCCAGAGGTTTAGAGGCAGTAAACAGCTTTATTTACATCAGCAGACCTGACCGGGATCTTTCCCCAAAGAAATCAGGCCCAGAATGTCGGCGGGCTGCCAGTTTTATAGGGTTGCAAGCAAGAGGTACAGAAGCAGAAGCAGAAGCAGAGTATTTGGCAGCCTTTGGTTGGTTATTGGACATTTTTTACATCTCTGAGGCTTAATTCCATTGGCGTTTCCCTGGGAATATAGCAAGCAGAGTTTACACAAAGCAGAGCAGCGGGGGGGTGGGGGTGGGGGGTGCAGAGCAAAGAGTTCTGGCAGGACTTTCTGAGTCCATTATGCTCCTTTGGTGACAGATTACAGAAGGTGTCATGGCTACTCAGGTACATTCTACAAAGAGCATAGTTACCTAGTTAACCCATAGTTACTTAATAACACAGTTGACTCATAGTTCCCCAATTCAGATATTTTTTCTTAAAAATATCTGTCTGGGGGCCAGGGATTTAGCTCAGTGGTTTCGCTGCCTGGTGCACAAGCGCAAGGACCTGAGTTCGATCCCTGTACCAAAAAAAAAAAAAAATATCTATCTCCCTGGAAATTCCTCTTCAGAGAGGCCAAGCAGTTTTCTTAAGATCACTCAGCTAGTGTTAGTCTTAAAAGTGGAATTCAAATAAAAGACTGTCTTGGCCATAAATCCCACATTCTTAATTGTATACTATGCTGTACTATACAGGACCTTCAGTGCAACATGATAGGTTTCATAATAGAGCCATAACGAAGTGCCATGGGGTACAGGAAAGAGCAATAGCCATCTCTTTCATGTAGACTTTGTGCACACTGGCGCCCCATTCTGTTTGGAGCACGTGCTGCTAAAGCAATGTTTTCGGGCACCTAGCACTGCTCCGAGATGCTCAGGACAAAACACACCTGGAGCACCTGCAGGCTGGTTCCTGCTCCACCTTGCCCAGGTTGGGATGGGCTATCTTGAAAGGCTTCAGGAGCCCCATGGCTGGGACCTACACCATCTGACATCTGCTGGAGCCAGAATATCCAAGACAGCTGCTGCACTCCCATGCCTGGCATCAGGGGTGTGATGGCCAGAGCACTGGGGACTGGCTGGATCCCCTTCTCCATGCATGGAGGTTTGGGGGTAGCAAAAGCGTCTCCAGCCAACCTCACAAGAGCTCAGATGGAGCTGCAAGCCTTCTTAGGACCCGGCCTCGGAAATCTCAAACACTGTTTCCACTGCATCATCTGCTCAGTGGTTCCTGAGGCCAGCCAGAGTCCAGGGGTGGAGGTGTGGAAGAACAGGCTCCACCCTGGAGGGGGATGCATGGGAGGCGAGGAGGGTGGGAATCTTGGAGATGAGACTGCTGCCATCGCAGGTTCATTTTCCTCTGTGGCATCGACAACCTTGATAGTCCTTAAATTAGTTATAGAAAGCATCAATGTTTGACATGCTTCAGGATAACTTCTCTGTATATAACTTGTGCTATGAATCGAGGGGATAACAAGGATGACAGTCAGACATCAGCTCCAGCCCCAGAGATGTGGTAAACAGTGGCCTCTAGGAGCTTTTCAAGACCAAGACTGTTTCCCCGTTTTCAGTCTCCAGGAGCTTTTAATGTAACTGCTACCAACCCAGTCTGCCTACAGATTTAGAATTAGGTCTCCCATCTCCGTTTTTCCTGAAATGGCTGAGCCAGTGAAAAAGGCCAAGGGGGCTAATGGAGGCACCTGTGTGTGTGTGCAGTGTTAATCATACCTGTTCTCAGTTCTCCGAGCTGCTCTCCCCTGGCTCTGCCCTGCCTCTCTGTCCTTCCTCTGCCTGCTGGCCAGGGGCGCTCCTCCTGTGCTCACATGAAATCAAGTCCATCTGTCACACACCACCGCTGTGTTTTCCCTTTACAGCCCCTTTTATCATAGATTACAGCATTTGTTTAATCTCCATCTCCCAGTTGGTAAATCTCGAGAGGGCAGGCATCAGTCTGCCTTAGTCACCGGTGTGTGCCCAGAGCCAGGCACGGTGCCCAGTGCAAATTAATTTGATTACTGTCTGAACTAGCAGATGGGCTTTCCAGTAGAAAGAACATTATAAGAGACGGTGAAGACCCTGAGTCAGCTGTTGAGAGACCCCGCCTAAAGGCAGGATTTAAATTGTGTGGGTTAGCTACTTCAAGCAAGATTTCCTCCAACTTCCTGCCTGCTTCTCTCATTTCCCAAGCAAGCAGTAGAAATCCCTTGTGGGAAAATAGCATAGAGGATGGAGAGGAAAATGAGTGTCAGGTGCAGGGCCCAGGCATGAGAACTGGCACCCCAAAGGAGAATGGCAGAGCCGCTAAGAAGGAGCAGAAGGGCTTTGCATCGAATTTGGCCTATTGAAGTGACAAAGCCCTTTGCAAATGGAAAAGCAGGAAAGGCTGGAACCTAAACCACCGCTGAGAAGAAACCAAGGCAACCTCTGCCCTCCTAGCTGGGATGTGGCAATCCTGCTCAGGCTTTCTACGGCCAGGGCCTGGGCCGGGTGGGAGGAGCCGGACACAGAGCTGGAGGCTAAGGGAGCGTTCGGGCGTGCAGACTCAGGGCTCAGCCTTCCGAGCACCACCTTTCTTCACTTCCCAGGTGAATGCTGTCCTGCGGCCGCCCTGACGGAAAACTTACAAGGACTGCAGCTGGGGGATTGGCTTAGGCGTTCTCACAAGTCTCAGATCATGGTAATCTGGGTGAAACCTGGTTTGCTTTGGTTTTTAGCCCTATTAAAAGCTGAAAACTAAGGAGTGCTCAACATCTACTCATTGCAGAAAGCGCCTCGCTCCATTCTTAAGATTTTGTGCCTGGAGAAGATACCCAGCCATCTTCATTCCGTTCTCCTCCCTCGACCTGACGCGTTTATGTGAAAACAAGGCCAGCGCGTGGAATCATGGAACCTGAGTACACGGGCTCCTCACACCGGCCAGAATTGCTCCTCTCAGGGCTGAACAATAAACTGCACTGGGTTCTCGTATAAATGCTCCAAACTCCGCGTATGTGTGTGTTTCTGTGTGTGTGTTAACTTTGGAGCTTATTAAAATCTACAAATACAGACCGGCTCCTCTAAAAAAGTGTGGCTGTAGTTACCAAGCTTTCCACTTGAGGGAACCAAAGGGCTACATCTGAAAGAAAGTTGAGGCGGGAAAAACTTCCAGAGCTTTTCCAGAAGTCTTTTCTGAGGAGAAATGAAATCTGAGGGGTGTGTGCCCGTAACCAAATCAGTGTAACTGCTGGAGGCTTCGTCTCAGCCTCTATTTGGTATCATCCACGCCGCCTCTCTTGCTCTTTTGTTTTGACTGGAAATGCTGAAGTAGCGGAGGACAGCTGTGAACTGACATCTTGTCTACCCCATTGTGGGATGCGGTGACGGGAGAAACAAAGCTCCCCGGGCTTTGCACCCACTCCATGCGGCCTCCATGGGTGGCTTCCCCAGACTTCCCGTCTCCCATCTTCCAGTGTGGATGGAGAGAGAGGAGCAGAGAGGCAGCAGGTACCTGGTGTGGGACAGTGTCAAAGGAAGTTTCCAGCTCCAAGTAACTCAGAGATGGGCACCCAGGGGGAAGAGGGATCTCTGTCATAGAGAAAGACCCCATTTTCCCGTTTCCCTGTAAGAATTTGCACCTGGGTGTGGTGGTGCCCACCTGTGATCCCAGCACTTGGGCGGCTGAGGCAGGAGGATCACTGTGAGTGTAAGGCCAGCCAGGGCTACATAATGAGCCCTACATAGTGAGTTCAAGGACAGCCTGAACTACATAGTGAGACCTTATCTTACTTTTAAGAATTTGCAAAATGCTCTTGGTGGTTGTGCTATTTGTTTGTTTTCAGTACTGGGAGCTGAACCTAGGGCCTCTGCACAAACAACATCTCCATCCCTTTTTTCATTTTTATTTTGAGACAGAGTCTCTTGGTAGGTCATTAAATTGCCCAGGTTGAACTCAAACTTGCTGTCTTCCTCCCTCAACCTTCCCAGGGCCGGGCTTACAGGCGTGGGCCACGACACCTGACTACTTTGCATTTCTTTTGCTAGTGGACTTGATGATCTTTCCTGTTCTAGGAGTCATGTGCATTTATTTTCCTGCAAACGGAATCATGTTGCTCGCTTTTCCCGTTAGGCTATTGATCCTTATTGATTTCTGTGAGCTTTTATGTCTTCAGGAAATTAACCTCTTGCTGGAAAATGAACTGCCAGTGATTTCTCAGTTTGAATTTGCTTTTTTCACTTTGATGGTGTTTGTCATGCATACTTTTTGTTGTTCTTGTTGTTATATAAGCAAATGCCTCAATCTTTTTCTTTATGACTTCAGGACTTGAGTGTCATCAGAGAACTTCTATCTAAATGTTCCAACAAGCAGAGAAAGGATATCTTAAAAAGTAGAAGCACTGATTAGGGCTGGACCTGGTTAAACATTTATCTAAATTTATTTGGAATATAAGGAAGAGGAGGACTGGGGAGATCACAGAGCTCACTTTCTTAAGAGGGCATCTGGCAGCCAGGGGGGCTGGGGTGGTAAGGAGCCCCAGCCCAGCGCTCCACATAGCCCTTTCAGTCACACGCCAGGCACTCCCCTGAGCAGCTCACAGCCGAAGCTCTCTTCGTCTGGCTGTACTCCCAGGGGTGTTTGCATGCTGCTGAGCTTCTCCCACCTCTCCTGCCCAAGAGCATCAGCTCCCCCAACCTGCTGGCTCCTGACAAACACAATAAGCAGAAACTGTCCTCTCCGGGAAAATTGCAGGAAGCTGGCTCAAGCCCAGAAGGCTGGGCAAAGGCTGGCCCGGGCTCTGGAGTAGGCAAACAAAGCTGATGGACTGTGAAGGGAAGCAGTGGGGTGTGGGGGACAGGGTTTTCTCGTCTCCATCTCTGTGTGAGGCAGGTCCTGAAAGACACAGCCCGTGTGTGCCCCTGTCTAGCCCCGCTGGTTGGGCTATGGTGCTGCAGCCCTCAACAAGAGAAGAACCTGAAATCACTTTTGAGTGACTCTGTACCAGCCTGTACCCCTTGGCTCCTCTTTCTCAAAGAAAGTGAATTGTGATTCCACACAAGGCAGGCGCAGAGTTGTCCTCGACTGTTACTAGTGGCAAAGGAGCATGTGGGTGGGGAGAAAAGGGTAGACTTGCTGAGCGGGAACACGTGTGAGGATCTGTTTAGATCTAGAAACTCTCAAGCTAGGAGAAAATGATGGTAATGACTCAACATGTTCTGAGTGAGGCAGGGAAAAGGTGACACCAACTCTCCTCAGAGAGTGGCGTTCCCTCGTGGTCTGCCCCTCACACCAGACGACGCTGGCCCTAGACAATTCCTGGCAGAACCCCAGCAGTCACTCCAATCTCTCCTCACTACCACCTCCCCACTGTGCTCCCACATGCAGAGTTCAGGTGTCACAGCAGGCCAGACCGGAGCCGATCGGTCAGCCGTCCTGTGCTACTCAGTGAGCTTGGGCTCAGGGAGTGTTTCTCAGCTTTCTTCGCTGCTAGCATCTTGAGCAAACATTGTAAATGTTTTTCCCTAATTGCTGCCCCCTCCCCAGGAAATTTTAATACCACAAGTATCCTGCATATCTGTTTACGTACTAGGTGTGCATCTTGTGCTTTGTATAGAAAAATATTTCTTTGCTCCCTGCCAAGAATTCATTTTCACCCCTTGGAGGTCAATCTGGCCCCCACTGAGCATGGTACAAACGTATTGCAGCACTATTTGTAAAAGCAAGCGATTAGAAATAAATATTCATCCAAAGGACTGATTGCATAGACCACTGATACATGCAAGAATGTGATACTATGTAGCCACAAAGAGGAGGGAGTCTCCTTTGTACCACCAAGATGAGCTCTGCAAAATGTATTAAGAGGAGGAAATACCCTGAACTGAACCATGTTTATAAAATGATGCCCTCTGTGAGAATTTGCATTGCCTAAATTATCCTTGGAATAGATAAGACAGGGAATGGGTGACTCGGTGTCCTTAGAAGAAGGAAGGCTGGGGCAGGCATGGGATAGAGGATTCTGACTGTGAACTCTGAACCATGGGGTTGTGTTAAAAATATAAATTTAAAGTTAGCATTCATCCTTTTTAGTGCATCTTCTTCAAACATTACCACAGCAAAATCAGTAGTGTTCCACCACCTTAGAGTAAGGTTTTGTCACCTCAGGTTTTTCCACGTCCTTTCCATAACTGGAGTAAAACATGACGCTGAGCTTGGAAATGGAATTTCCCTGACTCCCCGCTGTCATTTCTGCTCAAGCACACAGTTAATTCCCCTAAAGCCGCATATTGATCATTACACTATGGTTTACACAGCGACTTTCCACACCTGCCACAGGAACTTTGTCCTTAGACAAAGAGGTCATTGCCTGACTTGGTGAATATTTTGAAGCCAAAATTTTCCACCATATATTCCTACCTGTAATGACTTGTTATCCAGACATGCGAAACCCTAAACTGAGGAGGAGCTCTACACACTCAATTGGCTGGACCCTTCCCCTTTCTGTGGTTGAAGTTGTTTATCTGTAGGTGAAGAATGGGGTGTGGCCATCCCGCTGGGTGTCAGAGGCAGTGGGGCTGTGGCAGGACAGGAAAATGGGGCTACGGAGAAAGACAGGTCATGGTGGGTAGAGAGGGGCTGAGGTTGAAGGAGAACACACCAAAGTTAGCCCAAGAGCTCTCCTGGGTAGAGGACCTATCCCTTGAGCGGATCTGGTGCAGCCACTGTTAGTAACTGAGTGGCTACAGCACAGGAGGCCAGACATCTGGTCTTCTGGCCTGAACAGGTGTGGGTTTAAATCCGTTTTACTTTCTTCATGAGGTCCTCACCTAATAGCTCTTGCTGGTGCTCAAACCCCTAGAGGTTAACAAATCATAGTATAAAATTTTCAAAGGACAATTTTTTTTATCAAATTATAGTCATGTGTTACTTAAGATTGGATTATGTTCCAAGAAATGTGTCATTGAGCAATTTTGTAGTGGAGCAAACTCAGAGAGTGAACTTACCCAGACCTGATGGCAGGGATCGCTAACAGGGCCTTTGGATGCAATCAAAAGACATGGAAAAGTGATACCTTGTTTCCAAATAAAAAATAAACAAGGGTTGGTAATGTAGGTCAGGGAAGGGCCCTGGGTTTAATGCCAGTACTGCAAACCAAGAGGAGGAGGAGGGGAAGGGGGAGGGGAGGGGAGGGAAAGGATGGAGAGGGGCAGAGGGAGGGAGAGGGGGAGAGGGAGGGAGAGGGGTAGGGGGAAAGAAAAGAACCAGAGGCTGCGGCTGGTATAATATGGCAGACTTTTTTGGGGGGGGTACCGGGGATCGAACTCGGGTCCTCGAACTCGGGTCCTTGCGCTTGCGCAGCAGGCAGCGAAACCACTGAGCTAAATCCCCGGCCCAATATGGCAGACTTTTACAGCAAATTTTTTCCCCATAGGTAGAAAGGATACACTAAAATAATGATAAAAATTCCGTATAGCAAATACACAAATCAGTAACACAGTCACCTATTGTCAGGCATTAGGTACTCTACAGAACTGATATGTGTGCTGTTACACAACTGGTAGTGTGTTTACCTGGCACCACCACAAATGCGAATGTGAGAGGCTACAGCATCGCTATACAACAGAGAGTTTTGTGCTCTGTATAATCCTATGGGGCCAGAGAGGTATGTTCAGTCCACTGGTCGCAGTAACATCACGCAGTGCAGGACTAAAGTTGTTAGTTGTCGTTTCATCTTCTAGAGAAAGAGCTTTTTGTACACTTTGCATTTGGAAGTCTTCCCTTTCTTTGATCCTTGTAGGAAACGTGTTTAAATTTCCAAATTGGGTTGGCTTTTAGTAAAAAACGTACAATGCTAACTTTTAAATTTGTTCTGGATATAATAAATGCACTGTATCATTAGGGTGGGGGCATAGGTCTCAGATCACACAGAGATGCCCAGTCTGCAGACAGCGCTCATGATCTCGCCAGCTCTGTTAGCTCAGGGAGACACAGCCCTGATTCTCATCGGT